TATTGGCTTGCTGGAAGATCCACTTGCGGCCAAGTGTCAGCCTCCTGGCAGAGGCAACCAGGTTTTTGGCTAAAATGTCCTGGTACTTGCGGCATCGCAAATCTCCTGTAAGGTGATGCTCTTGAACAGTGTCCAAGAGGTAGCCATACCTCTGGTGGAGTGAGCCCTCATACGCTCCAGAGGCTGTAACCCCTTGCTATTATAGGCCAATATAAAAGCTTCCACAATCCAATGTGATAACCATTGATGAGAGAGGGGCCTCCCCTTGCAGTAGATGTGCTAAGTAGATCTAAGTAGATGTGCAAAGTGCGTACTGGACATAAACGGTGGAGATGCTCATCTTCCGTAGAAGTGACGGGAGGCGTGGAAAGCCACAACCTCTAAGGTGAGACAGACAATTACAATTGTCGCTAACCATATGCATAAAGGCGGGGTTAGGCAACAAGGAAACCTTGGAAAAGTCTGGGGCAAACTATAGGAACGAATGGTGAACTGACAGCGCATAAGGGCGCCCAGTGAAGCGGTCTTGAAGGAGAGATACTTAATCTCCACGCATTCCAGCGGCTCAAAAGGCTGCTTTGAAATAGCCTCAAGCGCAATAGACAGATCCCAAGACAGGGCTTGGAAACTGGACGTAAGCGATGTACACCCTTCATAAAATGACATAACAAGGTTTTTTTTTAACCAGCTAGACCTTAACAGTGGAGAAAGCCTTCCCTCTGTACATAAGGTCCTGCAAGAAGCATAAAACCTCGGATACAGAGCATTGGTAAGGAATTATCCGTTTTTGGTCACACCAATTCTCAAAAACGCATCGCTTGTTTCCATACACGTGGGGCCCTGGCACTCTGGATAGTCTCAATGACTCTGAGAGGCAAACCTGTTGCACCCAGATTTAACCTCTCACAGGCCAGGCCCATAGGGCCTTGGTGTCTGGGTGAGGGTGGAAAATCTCTCAGTTTGCTTAGGTCAGAAGATCCCTGCGTAACGGGAGTTTCCAGGGCTCATCATACAGCAGGAGAATGATCTCCGCTAACCAGAGCATGCCTGGCCATCGAGGGGCTACCAAGATGAGGGATGAGCCTTATTCCCCCACTCTGACTATAGTGGGGATTATGAAGCTGAGGGGAGGAAAAACTTAAAGCAACAACCTCGGCTAAGGGTGTGCCAGAGCGTCCACCCCCAATGATGGTCTCCTGCTAGCACAAAGAACAGCGGTTGGTTCAAGTTGTTGTCATGCGATACAAAAAGATTGAGGGGGTCTTTAAGTAACGGAGAGCCGAGAGACATGCGGAGGTCACCTTTATCTGACCCAAAAAATAAAATGTATCTGATTGATTTTTTCTCAGGGCTGTGAGAGCTGCCTCTACACATTTGCTGAATGTTCGGGAAGCTAGTGCTAGCCGAATGGAACAGCGAGGTATTCATAGGCTGTGCCTTTGAAAAGCAAACCTTAGAAACCTCCTGTGTGCTGGCAGGATGCTTATGTGAAAATAAGCGCCCTGCAGGTCAAGTAATGTGAACCAGTCGCCTCGACGAATAGAGCGAGACAGCACATTGAACGTAAACATACCGAACGTGAACTTTTTCAGATAACCGTAGGTCCAGAATGAGGCGTACCCCCCCAGTGTTGAACCACTGTAACATAGCGGGGAGTTTCCTCCTATCGTATCAGTCCCTCGATACGCTACCACCTCCCACGGATTCGTTTGCAGACATCAATGAGCAAATAACTGTTATTCACCATCGACGCACCGCTAAGGGCGGAAGAGGGCCTAGAGGTAAGGGCTTGCGCCTCCTCATCCTCTTCCTCCTCCACTGCCTGGAGGAGGTCAGTCATGCCCTCGCCATTGTCCTCATCGTGGTCCCCTTCCCCCTCCTCCGGGGCCAGGCCCTAAAAGAGTGGGTGAAGGACCTTGGGGTAGCCATCCAAGAATTGTGGCTGGATCTGTGAGGTAGCCTCCTCGCTCGAAGGCTGTGCGGGAGTCAAACCACGCTGGGCTGCTCTGTACACTCTTCGACGGAGGGTGTTAGCAGGAAAATCCCTACAATGGATGCATGACTGGGGGTCGTCGAATGTGTTCGAGACCCAGGCAGACAACTCACAGGGGGTGCTTGTCCCTTGGGCTGGGCTAGCAGGCTCCACTGCTCCAAAAAGGTAGCTAATCCGAGAACAAAGTGAAATGTAACTAGCATTCGCCATGTGGGCTAATAGCCTAGCTAGTTAGCACAGTGCTAGCCGGAGAAAGTGTGAATGTAACTAGCGTTCACCTCATGGGCTAGTAGTAGTTAGCACAATGTTAGTCAAAGGAAACTAGTGCTTTGTTAATCTTTCGGCCATCAAAAGCGTGTCTCTCGACCGACAAGCAGTGAAGCTAGGACGGTCGGTCTAGTGAAGCTAGGATGTGGGCTAATAGCCTAGCTAGTTAGCACAGTGCTAGCCGGAGAAAGTTAATCCTCTAACAATGTGAACGTAGCTAGTGTTCACCTCATTGGCTAGTAGCCTAGCCAGTTAGCACAATGTTAGCCAAAGGAAACTAGCGCTTTGTTAGTCTTGCGACTAAAAAAAGCTTGTCTCTCGACCGATAATCAGTGAAGCTAGGATGGTCGGTCTAGCCAACTCGGCACTGTAGTGGGCTGAGCTAAACGAGAGTGCGTACTAGTAATTCTACCCTTCCAGGTAAAAAAGCTAGTCGGTAGGATAGCTAGCCTTGCGGCAAGCTAGCCAGGTTGGCTAAGCCTTGCAGCTAAACTAGCCAAGTCTCCGCAGCTAGCTGTGTGATGCTAGCTACCACAGGAGACAAAGGGAAGAAAATGCTATTTTTTTTTTGTCTTACTCGAATCGCAAACTTTCCTTTCGGTAAAGTTATCCAACACAGAAGACGAGAGCTGAAAGACCTGCGCTCGGCGGCGTAACCTCACGGCACACCTGTGAACAGTTAAGCAGGAAAACAGGGATCAAGTCATGGTGAGGAAAGCTTAGAGAAGTACTCTTCGTGAGGAATAGAGGTGAGAATGACTAGAGGGCGGGCGAGTGGCTCCTTATCATGAGGGGAGAGGCTCACCTCATTTGCAACTTGACCTGTCTGTCTCTGACAGACGTGTGCGATTGGTTTTTCGAGCTTCTGAGATTCAGGTGAATCCCACATGTGAGATATTGAAACTAGTAATTGAAAGAGAACCAAGACTCAGCCACAGCGATTCATTATTTTTCCCCATGTGTGTAATAAGATTTGAATCCAATCTAAGAACATGTGCACAGATGCACCCTATATCACGTTCCATCTCCACTGCTATTTTTAACCTGTTTTAAGAGCGAGAACCAGCGCAAACTTGTCATTGTGACTCACACGTCCCCACAAGCCCTCATTACAAAGCCCCTTTGTGGATAAATGACACAGTTTTCTCAGAAGGCATTTCATACAATGATAAAACAGAATTATACATATATTGGGATAAAAAACCTAGAGGTTTCTCCCCAGCCCCAATCCTCCTCAATTTAGGCCAATTATAAGATGATACTGTAGATACACCTGTTCCTAGAGAAATCACACTTCTCTCATTGGATGATACAAAAACACATGGCTTTGTGGAAATGACTCTTGACTGAGTGAAGAAGACATTCTATACACAAATTAAATGAACAAGGCAGGACTTGGTATTGATCGTCAGGAGGGCTGTTGCAACATGTGAGGAGTCGCGATAGCTCTGACTGCCGCCAATTAAATGTGAGCGCTGACTTTTGGCTGAGAGGAGCCTGTTGCCGTGGATACCTCTCTGTCTCCTCCCCTCTCTCTCTCTCTCTCTCTCTCTCTCTCTCTCTCTCTGAGTGCAGTGTCAATGGTCCTCTTGCAGCTGCTCTTTGTGTCTGAGGGGATGGAGGTACAGTACGGTGTGGTTGTGGAGGAGGGCCCATGACAGAGAGAATCATGGAAGGTTGGTTCCCATTTTGTGAGACAGCAACAGCTAGCACATGTAAGAGGACAGGAGTTTTCTATAAGTCCTGGTTGAATATAGATTGCTCAGTGCTCCCATTAGAGCAGGTCAGGAAGTTCATCTCAGCAGAATGGTAGAAGTGTGACTCTATTGGAACTTCTATTTATTTAGTTGTTTAATGCTCAGAAGATAAGGGGCGTCCCTCTGTGACCCTCCAGGCAGCAACTCCAGCTGCCAGCTCTGTTTGCATTGATCTCTCTCTCCCCCCCCCCACCCACCCACTGAGGAGATGTAGGCTCCCTCATTCTCTACCTAATTTTTCCACACAGCCAAAGGAAATCCAGTGCCCATGCACAAAATGTGAGAAATGTGCAACCTTCGCTCATCTCTGTGCCACATTTAAACCACCAATCACCAGGGGTCCCTTGGCAAGCTTGTAGTAAAGTGCCCCTTTTTGTACGATCAGCCTCCTGTTCTTCCCACACATCCCCAGCGCGCCCAGACTCACTTCTCCTCCAGCTGTCCTGCAGCTTTCAGGGTTATGGCCTGTCTCCTACTACTGTCCTCAGCTCCTGTGGACAGCAGAGTCTCCTGCCCCTCTCCTTTCCATGGCTGGCTAGATGGCCTCAGGGCATTGTGAGGAGCTGACAGTCAGGGTCTCTGTGCATCAGCCAGCTATATGGAGGAGAGGAGGAGGAGGCAGCAGCAGCACTGCCAGGTGCTCAGCAGCAGGCTGGATTAACACTGGTCTGCCTGCCAACAGAGAAGTCAGAAGAATAGATGCATTCTGACATTTAATCAATGAGAGGGATTTTCATCAGATGTCTTAGGAATGTGAGGCAGTAGGAAGGGGGTGTTTTAGATAGGTGGGATGATACTGTCATCCTTGTCATTCTGTATGGGGATTATTAGGCCTCAGCACTCTCTATGATATCTCTCTCATTTTGGGACTGAAATACTGCATTATGTCTTTGTTTTGTAATCTCACAGGTTACTTTATTTGGAAAACTGTGACAAAAAAAAAGTATTCTTCCTTAACTTGTTGCTTCACTCCATTTGAGTACATGATCCTCGCCACCATCATCGCCAACTGTATCGTCCTGGCCTTGGAGCAGCACCTGCCTGGAGAGGACAAGACCCCCATGTCCAAGAGACTGGTGAGTAAACCATCTACCAATACACTGTGTTTTAAGTCAGTCGTCATCAGTGGGATTCTCCATACTTGCAGAAGTTTCTTTCAAAAACACAATTTCCCTCCCAATTCCTTATTCATGAAATTTGGTATTTAATTGTAATCTGACATTTTCTCCAAAGATTGGAGAGAAATGGATAGTTGCAGCAAAAAGAGAACACTTAATATTGTTTTATGACTTTAGAATACATTGTTAGCTTGGAAATTAGTTGTTTTATTTTATTTTAGTGTTTGTTGTTGTTATTATTTGATTTGTATGTTTTTGTTATTTTATAGTATGTGTTGACTAAGATTGGGGATGGGGTGGGGCCGCCAGGGGTATGTTTGGGATGGGGGGTGAGAGGATGGGGTTGTTCAAAAAGGGGGGGGAAATTGTATTGTTTTTATAGATTTTATTGCCATTGTGATCCAATAAAAACAATTGTTCCGAAAAATGAAATAATTGTTTGTTAAAGGCATATAATAAATGTCTGAGTTACTGTGTATTTCCTGCATTATGTATGAATTAATTCTGAATGCAGTATACCTATTGAGCCATTGCATAGACCATAAAGGTCCAAATTGGTCCTCTGAGTTCCCTGCTGCCTCAGAATGCAAAATCATTGATTATCTTTAAGACACATTTAACATGTGTAACAATGTTACACTTTAACCAAACAAAGTACAAATAACTGTATATACTATAGCATTATATAAAAGTGGTGTTTTTGGCATGTCACAGTTATCCCCTCTAACCCGTTAGTAGCTTGTTAGTTTTACAGTTGTGTTTTATTGTTTCCTCCAGTAGAGTGTGAAACTACCTGGATTAATTGGTTCTCATTCGATAAATAGCTATGACAGCTATTATATATATATATATATATATATATATATATATATATATATATATATATATATTATCATGCTAATTGTACATCTGTGAGCACATGAGAGTGCTTACCTGCCTGCTGAGAGAAAAATTTAATTAGCCCTTTGAAAAGGGAAAAACATAAATGATTGCTTGTTATGTACTGTAGTATATGTATTCTTTAGGGGAATGTTTCATTATATGTGTTTAATTTTCAACAGATTTAAGTGTTTTTCCATTAACCTAAAGCGTGATAAATGTGTCCACACAAATGCTGTTACTGTATATGCTTTGTTCTGTAACCTTTCATGTTATCATGACCACTTTGTACTGTAGTTTAACATTTACATTTTAGTCATTTTGTCTGATATGTCAATTTTTTATTCACAGGAAAAGACAGAGCCTTACTTCATTGGGATGTTCTGCTTTGAAGCTGGGATTAAAGTGGTGGCGTTGGGATTTGTATTCCATAAAGGCTCCTACCTGAGAAACGGCTGGAACATCATGGATTTCATTGTGGTTCTGAGTGGGTGAGTACGGTAGGCTGTCTCAGTCAGCTGAAACACTACAGGACTGTTAATATACTGCTGTATAACACCCTCCTGTTTCAACACCCTGTTCATGGCTGCTTGCTCAAATAAGACCGGTGTATTGCACTTGCACTAGCCTAGTTCATTATATTGATTTTTGAAAGGTTTTATTGAATGTTCATCAATGTTCTTGGCATGTTTAACAGACTGTTTCATGTGTATTTGACTTTATCAGATGTATGTTGTTAATTTCCTGGAAGGAGTTAATTTAATTTCTGAGGCAAATATCGTGGCACATCTTCTCAGTTCAGATGCCAAGAACAAAACACTGTCCGTGGAATAATCAAATCTTGCGGACGTATAGCTTTAGGGCTCTTAGTGTCTTCAACTAAAATAACACACAAGAATACAGTTCACCTTTAGGCTTTTACACACAATGGAAAGGAATATATGTTTCCACTGTCTAGACTCCTGGAGCAAATGATTGCAGTGGACAATGAAAAGGTTACTACAGGTTATTTGCTGATCTAAAAGGGGTAAGGGATTCTCTTGAGAGGCTGAGGACGAAGACAGTTTATCTTCCTAACAGCACTACCTGTTACATTTGAGTCATTTAGCAGATGCTCTTATCTAGAGCAATTATTGTTAAGTGCCTTGCAGATTTTTCACCTAGTGAACTCGGGGATTCGAACCAGCGAACCTTTCGGTTACGGGCCCAAGGTGCTTAACTGCTAGGCTACACGCCACCTCTGTTGAAAACAGCAGGGCCAACTCTGGTTCAATACACACACATACGCACACAGATGAAATATTAATCCATTCCATAGTGCAAAAGTACAAAGGGTGGCAAGGTTCTGACAGAATTTTACATGATTCTCTGCGTTTCATTATTAATGAGCGCAGGCTCACAGTGCTGAATAAGGCCCAGCTCTCTGCTGAAAGGAGGAGAGGAAAAGGAGGAGAGGAGAAAGGGATGGGGTGGGAGAGGAGTGTCAGACTGGGGCTGTGGAGCCATGTCCTTAAAGCTCTGATAATGTCTCCTCACCCACAGTGCCCATCACCCCCAACCTCACCCCTCCTCTCTGGCTGTGTGTCTTGATGTGTGTGTGGATGGTCATATGTGGAGATGTTATGCCTTGTCAGATATTCCCAGCCAGGTGAGAGGGGAGTGGTCTGGCTGTAGCTACTCTTCTTCTGCATTACATTTACATTACATTTTAGTAATTTAGCAGACGCTCTTATCCAGAGCAACTTACAGTTAGTGAGTGCATACATTTTTCATACTGGCCCCCCGTGGGAAACGAACCCACCACACCACAGCCCAAAGTAGAGATTTAATTAAAACCCAGCGAGGAGCAGTGAATTCAAATGGATTGGGTTACTCCGCTGACTTTCTCCGTAGACTCCTCTCATCTGGCCTAATTTTCCCCCTAAATGACCTGTCGTATCTAACCTTTGAGATACACGATTACTACTCTACTCAGACATTTGTCTTCTCACACTGCGTATATTGATACATTTTCCTCTTCAGGTTTTACATTACATTATTTTCAGGGATATGTGCCGGGTGAGTGCATTCCAATCTCTTGATACCAAATCTAGTACTTTTAGGGCTCTATCTTTGGCTGGTGCCAAGGCGGCGAAAGTGTCAAACGAGCGTTAGTTGGCAATTTCGCAATGTAGAAACTGGTGCTCTGGCATTTTCCACCCCTTGCACCAGGTTTGGCAATTTACCTGTCTAACATCAGCTCACGTGCACTGAGGTGGGAGGGGTGGTAATATTTGAGGTGTGTCCTTCAAAACAAGTGCAAAAGTGACAATTTCATGGAGCACAAATTGTGAGATTTAAGACCAACGAAAAGCAGGTCTTAGCGGTAACGCAGATGGTAATGACATTGATTTGAGAGTGGAAGCGCAACCTATCCAGCTGTGATGCACAGTGCCCATATGCTCATGTAACAAGAGGGGAAATGTCCATTTTGGGCCGTTAACCCTCGTAATTAGAAACATAAGAAATTAATCACCAAAGCTTAATTAAAAGAATACGTTTAGGAGCAGCAACAGTGAGCGGACATCCCCTTTCTATCAGTATTTTAGCCAGCTCCCGTTATTATTTTGGACATACGTAAAACCCCCTCCATGTAGGCTACCTGTGTCCACATGCCCATCATGAAATGAGAGATGAGTTGATGCAGGTGGTGACCCTCGTAGTTAGAAACATTTAAGTTATTTTCCTCTAACAATTGCTTGTTTCATTTCATTAAAAACCTAAACTTATTAGAATGATTCACCGTCCTTGGCTTTATGGTGAGAAAATCCATCGCTCGCATGCAATGCAATTTAGGAGCCTTCTGCTATTTCTGGAGAAGTGTGAATGCGATCTGTAAGGTCCTTCCATGATGTTTATAAAACATTATATTTGGGAACAGTATAATGTTAAGTCAACATTCCCCCTTTATATTGGATCTTACTCCAGCTCCTGTGTAGAGTTTGGATCTGTGTAAAACCTTCCATAGTCTATGTTGCCTCAATATTATATGCCCAATGGGGAGACAATATGGTGCCTTTAACTGTATTTAGATATAGCCAATTTAAAACAAGTTGATGTTTCGTTTTTATTAGAATTGTATTCACATTTTTCACTCTCTTTTTAAGCCTTATCAATAGGCTAGTGAATTTAATCTTGCTTATTGACAACGTTTGGCATGTCCATGGCTCAGACATGGAAAACAAAATGTAATTTACGGTAGGCCTAGCCCTTATATCAGTGTGAATGCTATGTTTAACAATATACTGAATTTCCGTATCGAAGCCATGCAATTACTTACAATGTGAGCTGCAAACATGTTCAACATATTTAGCAACGATGGGAAAGCCTACACACGTTGTTATTTTGTTTATGATAGGTTAATTAACAAACTAGGCTATAATGGACTAACATTCGAATTGGAGTTGATGACAACGCAATACATAAAAGACCGTAAATACACAACTTGAAGCATGGAGCACGTTCTGATTGGCCTTTGAGGGGTCAAGCCTCGACACCTACAACTTATTTATTAATCAAAACCCAGCCCTTTCACGCCACCGCCAGCTACTGTGCATATAATTCCCATTGTGAAAATAACAAAAATATTTCTGACACAGCCCCAACCTGTAGGGCTACCGCCAGTGCTAAGATTTACTATTGCGTTAGGTTCGTTAAAATTGAGCCCTTAACCCCCTAAAGTCGATTGACACACCTGTGCGTCAATCTAATTAACATAATTTAAAACATCCCCATCAGAATCCGTCTTTTTAAGCTAGAGATATCTGGTTTTTGAATGGGTTGCGTCTCAATCCACTGCATCTGCCTATGTTGGCCTTCCGCATCTGCGGTGGAAAGTGGCAGACATACAGCGCTGTTTGTCAGACCAGGAGACATAATGAAAACGTCTGTAGCATCCGAACGGTTAGGTCTACAAACTAACATAGCAGTAAAGTCCAAATTCAATATTTTATCTAATCATTTTTCAATATAATTTTGTTTATACCAACAGGGGTCCTAAAATTCAAAATCAAATAGCTAAACAATTCCATATTGTGGTGAATGATGGACGGAGTCAGGCGCAGGTGTAAAATAACCGAATGCAGATTTATTCCTTCCAGACATACAATGCGCCTACAACGGCAATCGAAACAGGTACAGGGGAAACAATCCTCCCTGACCAAACACAGTCTCAGAAAATACAATAAATGTAATGACACAGGGGAAAATCAACCCTGGCAAAATAAATGAGAGAGTATCTCAACCGAGCTACTCTCCTCCCACATAGAACAATCACTCACAAAGACAAGGGGCAGAGGGAACACTTATACACAGACTAATTAGGGGATGAGCACCAGGTGTGTGTGATTGACAAGACAAGACAAGTGGAGTGATGAGAATGGGAGCGGCAGTAGCTAGTGAGCCGGTGACGACGAACGCCGAAACCTGCCCGAACAAGGAGGGGAGGCAGCCTCGGCGGAAGTCATGACACATACAGTGGGGAAAAAAAGTATTTAGTCAGCCACCAATTGTGCAAGTTCTCCCACTTAAAAAGATGAGAGAGGCCTGTAATTTTCATCATAGGTACACGTCAACTATGACAGACAAAATGAGAAAAGAAATCCAGAAAATCACATTGTAGGATTTTTTATGAATTTATTTGCAAATTATGGTGGAAAATAAGTATTTGGTCAATAACAAAAGTTTCTCAATACTTTGTTATATACCCTTTGTTGGCAATGACACAGGTCAAACGTTTTCTGTAAGTCTTCACAAGGTTTTCACACACTGTTGCTGGTATTTTGGCCCATTCCTCCATGCAGATCTCCTCTAGAGCAGTGATGTTTTGGGGCTGTCGCTGGGCAACACGGACTTTCAACTCCCTCCAAAGATTTTCTATGGGGTTGAGATCTGGAGACTGGCTAGGCCACTCCAGGACCTTGAAATGCTTCTTACGAAGCCACTCCTTCGTTGCCCGGGCGGTGTGTTTGGGATCATTGTCATGCTGAAAGACCCAGCCACGTTTCATCTTCAATGCCCTTGCTGATGGAAGGAGGTTTTCACTCAAAATCTCACAATACATGGCCCCATTCATTCTTTCCTTTACACGGATCAGTCGTCCTGGTCCCTTTGCAGAAAAACAGCCCCAAAGCATGATGTTTCCACCCCCATGCTTCACAGTAGGTATGGTGTTCTTTGGATGCAACTCAGCATTCTTTGTCCTCCAAACACGAGAGAGTTTAGTTTTTACCCAAAAGTTATATTTTGGTTTCATCTGACCATATGACATTCTCCCAATCCTCTTCTGGATCATCCAAATGCACTCTAGCAAACTTCAGACGGGCCTGGACATGTACTGGCTTAAGCAGGGGGACACGTCTTAGGCACTGCAGGATTTGAGTCCCTGGCGGCGTAGTGTGTTACTGATGGTAGGCTTTGTTACTTTGGTCCCAGCTCTCTGCAGGTCATTCACTAGGTCCCCCCGTGTGGTTCTGGGATTTTTGCTCACCGTTCTTGTGATCATTTTGACCCCACGGGGTGAGATCTTGCGTGGAGCCCCAGATCGAGGGAGATTATCAGTGGTCTTGTATGTCTTCCATTTCCTAATAATTGCTCCCACAGTTGATTTCTTCAAACCAAGCTGCTTACCTATTGCAGATTCAGTATTCCCAGCCTGGTGCTGGTCTACAATTTTGTTTCTGGTGTCCTTTGACAGCTCTTTGGTCTTGGCCATAGTGGAGTTTGGAGTGTGACTGTTTGAGGTTGTGGACAGGTGTCTTTTATACTGATAACAAGTTCAAACAGGTGCCATTAATACAGGTAATGAGTGGAGGACAGAGGAGCCTCTTAAAGAAGAAGTTACAGGTCTGTGAGAGCCAGAAATCTTGCTTGTTTGTAGGTGACCAAATACTTATTTTCCACCATAATTTGCAAATAAATTCATTAAAAATCCTACAATGTGATTTTCTGGAATTTTTTTCCTCAATTTGTCTGTTATAGTTGACGTGTACCTATGATGAAAATTACAGGCCTCTCTCATCTTTTTAAGTGGGAGAACTTGCACAATTGGTGGCTGACTAAATACTTTTTTACCCCACTGTATGTTATCTTAGTATAACCCCCCCCCGCCCCCCCCCCCCCCAAAGGCTTAGACTTTTAGAGGTTAATGTCAGACAATAGCAATGTAAATAGAATATAAAATGAATCAAAAACTGTCTGCTTATGAGATCATTTTGCTAATTTCCTCAAATTGCTTGGTTTACCAGGCATACAGTATTGACATTGGTAGAGGCCAGTGCCGATTTTAGCATGTAAATCTTGGGGGGGGGGATGCATGCGAGCAAAGCCACTACACAACACAACACTAAACAATACATTAATTGCACTATAACGGTGACAAACGGTGCCCACAAACTGTTAGGGCCTACATAAAGCTGTCCCAACAGCAGAGTCCCAACAGCAGTCCCAACACCTTACCACTGCTACACCTGGCTATCAGCGGAGCCTTGTCTGGCAGCGAAACAGTTCATTCAGCCTCATTTACTGCCTTTAAAAAAAAAACATAGCTGATCTGGCTGACTTGCTTAAACAAATGTGGTTTCTACTGACAATTGAGATGTACAAACTATGGCATAAGGGGACGACAAGCGGATAAAATGCAATCCGTAATTTCAATTAAGACATTGATGAGCAAGCTAGGACCGACATAGTCAATATACAGTGAGGGAAAAAAGTATTTCATCCCCTGCTGATTTTGTACGTTTGCCCACTGACAAAGACATGATCAGTCTATAATTTTAATGGTAGGTTTATTTGAACAGTGAGAGACAGAATAACAACAAAAAAAATCCAGAAAAACGCATGTCAAAAATGTTATAAATTGATTTGCATTTTAATGAGGGAAATAAGTATTTGACCCCTCTGCAAAACATGACTTAGTACATGGTGGCAAACCCTTGTTGGCAATCACAGAGGTCAGACGACATGTCAGGAGGGATTTTGTCCCACTCCTCTTTGCAGATCTTCTCCAAGTCATTAAGGTTTCGAGGCTGACGTTTGGCAACTCGAACCTTCAGCTCCCTCCACAGATTTTCTATGGGATTAAGGTCTGGAGACTGGCTAGGCCACTCCAGGACCTTAATGTGCTTATTTTTGAGCCACTCCTTTGTTGCCTTGGCCATGTGTTTTGGGTCATTGTCATGCTGGAATACCCATCCACGACCCATTTCCAATGCCCTGGCTGTGGGAAGGAGGTTCTCACCCAAGATTTGACGTCCCTTTGATGTGGTGAAGTTGTCCTGTCCCCTTAGCAGAAAAACACCCCCAAAGCATAATGTTTCCACCTCCATGTTTGACAGTGGGGATGGTGTTCTTGCGGTCATAGGCAGCATTCCTCCTCCTCCAAACACGGCGAGTTGAGTTGATGCCAAAGAGCTCCATTTTGGTCTCATCTGACCACAACACTTTCACCTAGTTCTCCTCTGAATCATTCAGATGTTCATTGGCAAACTTCAGACGGGCCTGTATATGTGCTTTCTTGAGCAGAGGGACCTTGCGGGCACTGCAGGATTTCAGTCCTTCACAGCGTAGTGTGTTACCAATTGTTTTCTTGGTGACTATGGTCCCAGCTGCCTTGAGATCATTGACAAGATCCTCCCGTGTAGTTCTGGGCTGATTCCTCACCGTTCTCATGATCATTGCAACTCCACGAGGTGAGATCTTGCATGGAGCCCCCCGAATAATCGCACCAACTGTTGTCACCTTCTCACCAAGCTGCTTGGCGATGGTCTTGTAGCCCATTCCAGCCTTGTGTAGGTCTACAATCTTGTCCCTGACATCCTTGGAGAGCTCTTTGGTCTTGGCCATGGTGGAGGTTTGGAATCGGATTGATTGATTGCTTCTGTGGACAGGTGTCTTTTATACAGGTAACAAGCTGAGATTAGGAGCACTCCCTTTAAGAGTGTGCTCCTAATCTCAGCTCGGTAACTGTATAAAAGACACCTGGGAGCCAGAAATCTTTCTGATTGAGAGGGGGTCAAATACTTATTTCCCTCATTAAAATGCAAATCAATTCATAACATTTTTTACATGCGTTTTTTCTGGATTTTTTTGTTGTTATTCTGTCTCTTACTGTTCAAATAAACCTACCATTAAAATTATAGACTGATCATTTCTTTGTCAGTGGGCAAATGTACAAAATCAGCAGGGGATCAAATACTTTTTTCCCTCACTGTAACTATTTATTCAGAACTTTTTAAATGTACAGCGACAGAATTCAGAACATGGGCCGTTCTTACAGTGTTCTCCCTGTATACGAAGTCAGAATCGTAAGAAAAATAAAGGGGGCATATAAGCAGGCAATGATAGCTCTTACAATATTCCATGATTACATTTCTCTAAAACAGGTTACAGGCTACATGTGCACCACCAAGTCAGAACAGTAGGCGAAATTAAGAGGGGATAATAGACCAAATTATTAGGGTGAGGCACATGGGCTACCAACAGTTTACTACACAACAAACACTTAGTATTACTTTCTTAGCTACAATATACATATTTCCCTGGCATATTACGTCATTTATGCAGCAGCATACAATACATTTTTGGACTCACCTTGTTGTGCTGTGCTCACTTGAACAGGAAGGTGGCGCGGAGGTCCTTTGTGGGCAAATTTTGTCATCAAACTTTGTCATCAAAGTCTGGCATTCTCTGGATTTATGGTGCTTTCAAGACAACTGGGAACTCTGAAAAAAACAAGGTTGAATCATGATGATGTCAGTGATCTTCAGGTTGTAGCTCTAGAAAGAGGACAGAGTTCCCGATTTACAATTCCGAGTTGGATGACCATTCAAAACGTATTTTCCTAGTCGGAGCTTGTTTTTTCCTGAGTTCCCAGTTGTCTTGAACTCACTGAAGTAAGATTTCCCAGTTCCGAGTTAACAGTTGTTTTGAGTGCGGCAGAAATCATGCTGGATTGACAGCATGGCCCATGTTGAAAGTTGATCATTTTAAGCTTGGAAAAGAGACCCATAAACCAGACTTGGGACCACACAGCCACTCCACTGAATAGCAGGCTAGTGATTGCTTTGCAATGCTTGCAGTTAGCCACTAATTCCTTCCAAACCACTCATTGTTGAATATGCGATTTCCAACTTGTTGTGTAATGTTTATGTCCAATGGCCGATGCGTATAGATACGTTTTATCTATAATTTCTCTTCATTATTTCTCTTCATATGACAAGGATTAAAAAGGATTTGCCAGTAGATTGTTTTATTTTTATATATATATATATATATATATATATATATATATATATATATATATATATATATATATACACACAGTGGGGAGAACAAGTATTTGATACACTGCCGATTTTGCAGGTTTTCCTACTTACAAAGCATGTAGAGGTCTGTAATTTTTATCATAGGTACACTTCAACTGTGAGAGACGGAATCTAAAACAAAAATCCAGAAAATCACATTGTATGATTTGTAAGTAATTAATTTGCATTTTATTGCATAACTATTTGATCACCTACCAACCAGTAAGAATTCCGGCTCTCACAGACCTGTTAGTTTTTCTTTAAGAAGCCCTCCTGTTCTCCACTCATTACCTGTATTAACTGCACCTGTTTGAACTCGTTACCTGTATAAAAGACACCTGTCCACACACTCAATCAAACAGACTCCAACCTCTCCACAATGGCCAAGACTAGAGAGCTGTGTAAGGACATCAGGGATAAAATTGTAGACCTGCACAAGGCTGGGATGGGCTACAGGACAATAGGCAAGCAGCTTGGTGAGAAGGCAACAACTGTTGGCGCAATTATTAGAAAATGGAAGAAGTTCAAGATGACGGTCAATCACCCTCGGTCTGGGGCTCCATGCAAGATCTCACCTCGTGGGGCATCAATGATCATGAGGAAGGTGAGGGATCAGCCCAGAACTACACGGCAGGACCTGGTCAATGACCTGAAGAGAGCTGGGACCACAGTCTCAAAGAAAACCATTAGTAACACACTACGCCATCATGGATTAAAATCCTGCAGCGCACGCAAGGTCCCCCTGCTCAAGCCAGCGCATGTCCAGGCCCGTCTGAAGTTTGCCAATGACCATCTGGATGATCCAGAGGAGGAATGGGAGAAGGTCATGTGGTCTGATGAGACAAAAATATAGCTTTTTGGTCTAAACTCCACTCGCCGTGTTTGGAGGAAGAAGAAGGATTTAGTACAACCCCAAGAACACCATCCCAACCGTGAAGCATGGAGGTGGAAACATCATTCTTTGGGGATGCTTTTCTGCAAAGGGGACAGGACGACTGCACCGTATTGAGGGGAGGATGGATGGGGCCATGTATCGCGAGATCTTGGCCAACAACCTCCTTCCCTCAGTAAGAGCATTGAAGATGGGTCGTGGCTGGGTCTTCCAGCATGACAACGACCCGAAACACACAGCCAGGGCAACTAAGGAGTGGCTCCGTAAGAAGCATCTCAAGGTCCTGGAGTGGCCTTCCAGTCTCCAGACCTGAATCCAATAGAAAATATTTGGAGGGAGCTGAAAGTCTGTATTGCCCAGCGACAGCCCCGAAACCTGAAGGATCTGGAGAAGGTCTGTATGGAGGAGTGGGCCAAAATCCCTGCTGCAGTGTGTGCAAACCTGGTCAAGACCTACAGGAAACATATAATCTCTGTAATTGCAAACAAAGGTTTCTGTACCAAATATTAAGTTCTGCTTTTCTGATGTATCAAATACTTATGTCATGCAATAAAATGCAAATTAATTACTTAAAAATCATACAATGTGATTTTCTGGATTTTTGTTTTAGATTCCGTCTCTCACAGTTGAAGTGTACCTATGATAAAAATGTCAGACCTCTACATGCTTTGTAAGTAGGAAAACCTGCAAAATCGGCAGTGTATCATATACTTGTTCTCCCCACTGTATCTATACAGCTCTGGAAAAAATTAAGAGACCACTGCGAAATTATCAGTTTCACTGGTTTTACTATTTATAGATATGTGTTTGGGTAAAAATAACATTTTTGTTTTATTCTACAAACTACTGACAACATTTCTCCCAAATTCCAAATAAAAATATTGTCATTTAGAGCATTTTTTGCAGAAAATGAAAACTGGTCAAAATAACAAAGAAAATAAGTTCATGTTAATTTCTAAACAACACAATACTAATGTTTTAACTTAGGAAGAGTTCAGAAATCAATATTTGGTGGAATAATCCTGATTTTCAATCACAGCTTTCATGCGTCTTGGCATGCTCTCCACCAGTCTTTCACATTGATGTTGGGTGACTTTATGCCACTCCTGGCGCAAAAATTCAAGCAGCTCGGCTTTATTTGATGGCTTGTGACCATCCATCTTCCTCTTGATCACATTCCAGAAGTTTTCAATGGGGTTCAGGTCTGGAGATTGGGCTGGCCATGACAGGTTCTTGATCTGGTGGTCCTCCATCCACACCTTGATTGACCTGGCTGTGTGGCATGGCGCATTGTCCTGCTGGAAAAACCAATCCTCAGAGTTGGAGAACAATGTCAGAGCAAAAGGAAGCACGTTTTCTTCCAGGACAACCTTGTACGTGGCTTGATTCATGCGTCCTTCACAAAGACAAATCTGCCCGATTCCAGCCTTGCTGAAGCACCCCCAGATCATCACCGATCCTCCAACAAATTTCACAGTGGGTGCGAGACACTGTGGCTTGTAGGCCACTCCAGGTCTCCATCTAACCATTAGACGACCAGGTGTTGGGCAAAGCTGATAATTGGACTCATCAGAGAAGATGACCTTACTCCAGTCCTCTACGGTCCAATCCTTATGGTCTTTTGCAAACCTCAGCCTGGCTCTTCTTTGCTTCTCATTGATGAAGGTCTTTTTTTCTAGCTTTGCACGACTTCAGCCCTGCCCCTAGAAGCCTGTTTCGAACCGTCCTCGCCGTGCACTTCACCCCAGCTGCTGTTTGCCATTCTTTGTGTAGGTCACTTGATGTCATCCTACGGTTGTTGAGTGACATTCGAATGACTTGGCGGTCATCCTGGTCAGTAGAGAGTCATTTTCACCCTCTGCCGGTCTGTAGCTTTGTTGTCCCCAATGTCTGCTGCTTGAAGTTGTTCTTATGAACCGCCGTCATTGACATTTTAAGGATGGAAGTAACCTGACGCTCACTGTATCCCTCTGCCAGTAAAGCCAGAATTGAACCCTTCTTTTCCTCACTCAAAACTTTCCTTTTCAACTCTTTTGGCATGGTCAATAGTTATTTTTTGATTAATATTACTTTTGAGCTTACTATTAGCACTGGTCCTATTGCAAGAGTATAGTGATGAACACAGAAGTGGTTTTTATACTTTTCCTCGTTAAATAAGATTTGGTTCAGGTGATCACCTAATCAGTACCTAATTCAGTAGAATGAGGTGTGCCTGTGTTGGAATTTAACAGACACTGGAATGGAATGGCTGTCATGCTGATTTAAGAAAAATTTGCAGTGGTCTCTTAATTTTTTCCAGAGCTATATATATATATATATATATATTATATATATATATATATATATATATATATATATATATATATATATATATACATACATACATACATACATACATACATACATACATACATACATATACACATACATACATACATACATACATATATATACACATACATACATATATATACAGTGGGGGAAAAAAGTATTTAGTCAGCCACCAATTGTGCAATTGTGTTATAGTTGACGTGTACCTATGATGAAAATTACAGGCCTCTCTCATCTTTTTAAGTGGGAGAACTTGCACAATTGGTGGCTGACTAAATACTTTTTTTCCCCACTGTACATATCCTTTAAAAATATATATTTCCCTTTATTACTTTCCAACCCCACCACCCCTTCCCTAATTGGAGGAAACTAGTGAACAACAATGCTTAGGCCTCTACTTCCAGCTTATACATACTATATTTTATGGACACAGTCAATTTTACAATAATTCAATTTTGTTTGTTTTTACTCCTGTACTTCCTCTACCCTCAACCTCTCCAATCATTTTCATGAAGTCCATCCGGTTTGCTTCTATATGCCATATCTTTCACAAAAGCTCTCAACCTATAACCTATATACTTATTGTGGACACAGTATGCTTATTATTAGTTATCTTGTTGTTATTAGTTGTTGTTAGTTGTTATTAGTCCCATCCTTCAACTCCATTGAACACCACCCATCTATCTCTTAACACCATCCATATTGGATTTCTATTTGCCATATATTTTTCAACTGTACTGTGATGTTTTACAAAAATTCTGAACCCTTCTATTCTCATTGTTTCTACAGATTGTAAATTGAAAATGTTTTTTTTTTCTAAAAATATTGTTATATTATTGATCGATTGACTATGACTTTTCAGATCACCCAGTATTGCTATCTGCAGGGTTAGCTCCAGTTAAATATTGCAATCCTTTAGCCATTCCTGGACCTGTGTCCAAAAACAAGCTACAAATGGACAGTACCAAAACAAATGATCTAATGATTCTGTCTCTTCGCAGCAAAATCTGCAGAGCTGGGAAGATTCTATCCCCCATATAAATAACATTCTATTGGTAGCAAGAATTTTGTATAATAATTTATATAGAAAAATTCTAAGTTTTGAATCCGGCGTCGTTTTGGGTATCAGTTCATAAACACTATGCCATGGAATCGGTACGTCAAAAATCTCTTCCCAACTATTTTGCAATCTATATGGGACGGCTGTCAATCCTTTGGTCCTTAAATGAAACTGGTATACTTTTCTATTTATCACAATTTTCTTTAACCAATTATGTTTAATGCAGGGCCGACAGACAAGTTCCTTACTTTTTCCCCCTTCACTTTCCTCTTCCATTTTTGCGGTAATGCTGCAATTATTTGGTTGTAATTTTGGGTAGAGCAGATATTTCCATATGTTTTTGTTAGCTGCATGTGTGACATAACTCCACCAGTCCTACCTATGATATCATTTACGAAGATTATACCTTTTTGTAAAAAAAATTTAATCAATTAGTATATTTGAGTTTAACCACTAGTTGTTGCATTATTTGTTCTGTTGTTTCTGGAGGATTCAATTGAAATTGCAACCAACTTTCTATGGTTTGTTTTAGAAATAGTGATATTTGGGAGATGATTTCCTTTTCAAATAACTGAAAGTGAGAGGTTGTAATCTGAATAAAGGGGAAAAGGCCATTCTTGAACATTGGGTGAGACAATCTTACTAATTTGCTAGAGAGCCAGTTCGGATGTAAGTATAACTTTTGTATGACTGAAGCTTTTAGTGATAGGTCTAATCCTTTAATATTTAATAATTTCTGTCCTACGAATTCATATTCATTATATAAATATGCCCGTTTAATTTTGTCTGGCTGGAATATTTTTTTCTCATATAATTAAAAAAACTGTTCGCTAGGCGTAGGCAAGACCTACAATGTTGTTGCCAGTAGATTCTTGACTTGATTCATGATGATGACTGCTAGCTAAGATTTTGAAAGTATGATGTAGACATGATCAGTCCAATCAAAGCTACCGTAGATATAATGTGATTTGACGTCATTTTATCTGTGGCCAATGACCTTGAGCCTTCTTGGATGGGCACTTCTAATGTAACTCTATGGCAGCACCCAAGGGGCTTGAATTTTCGAGCCCTACCCTTAGATTTGGCGGTGACATAGTGTCCCCATGAGTGACAGAACACTGAGCCAATCACGGCGCAACTAGAGAACATTACCAACCCCTACACTCCGTATTTTATACTGTCTGCCCCACCACCACAGAAAGCACTGAGCTAGGCTGAAACACCTGCATTTTGGAGCTGCCTTACTCAAGAAAGCAAAAAAGAGACCATGTTTGTGTGCGGCTTTATTAACTAAATTATTTATTTTAATTTTTTACATTGTTTGCAAACTGATATGTGACACGTATTAATGCCAAAATAACATGCAAAACAGGCAACCAAAAAATTAATAAAAACATTATTATTAATATTGTAATTTTATGTGTGTGCAAAAACAGAGCCCTGAATGACGGGTTGCCACTGGTAGAGGCCCAATGCAGCTGTTTTTATATCAATATCAAATAATTTCTGGTTAACAATTAAGTACCTTACTGTAATAGATTTCCATTCAAATAGGCAAAATAGCTTTTTAGCAAAAAACTATTACTCAAAAAAACTGTTTCACAAGCAATACTTTTGCTAGGACTGTCTGGGAGTGGTCTGAGTGGGGAGGGGAAAACTGAAAACTAGCTGTTATTGGCAGAGAGTTTCGGAACTCTCGTTGTTATTGGTCTGCTAACCAATTTACCTAATTTGACATGTCACCATGGAAAGCTGGAACTCCTGCCCATGCAAACCTGCTGATTACAAAGTCCTGTGTAGATTGTATTTTCAAACAGCAACTATCAGGAAATAACAATGATTTTAAAAAATCCCACACTTTTACAGTGTTAGTTTCATCAGCTATTGTACAATATGATATAAAACACAGAATATTGACTGCACTGGGCCTTTAATGCAATGATCAGAGGGGTTTTCTATTCCAGTTTAGATGACTGTATTTGGCAGTAGTTTCTTACCTCACCTGTCAGTTACTGGCCCTTGCCAAGTAATCTCAGCTTCCAGATGTATCATTATAACGTTTCGTATCATTTTATTACTCTTAGTGAGCACTTTCCACTTTCCAGCACTGACTGATGGACAGGTTGACAACTGTGTTGTATTTTCTCCACTTTGAACGTACAGAGAGAGTTGAATGATTCATGGGCCTGAATGGTAGATGACATCTGCTTTCTGACTGATAGTAAATCAGAGCACATATCAGCTCCCAGTCAAGCATGTATGACATCAGGTCTGGCAGTCTGTTATCATTAATACAGCATGACCAGTATATTTCACATGAAACAGTCTACAGCATGACTACAGTATGCCCCAATCTCATTTTATGAACAGCCATCACTGTGGGGGACTTTATATAGTTTGGAGGTAATTCGTGTGTAGGTTTCATTTGATTCATTTTCAGTATAATGAAGTGAGGTTTAGATGTTTTTTTCTTTACTATTGTTCTGTCCATGGCAACCGTATTGTAATGCAATGAATCTCCCTCTCGCTGTTGCTCTCTCTCACAGACACACACACATTTAGAATTTCGACAGGGGTTTGCAACCTTATTAAGAAATGAGTGAAGATTATGAGATTTGCTGGTAATAGTGGATGAGTCATCAGTATCCATTAGTTTTTAATGAACAGTCATGTGCAGACAGAGGTCAGAGGGAAAAGGAACTGTTTAAGGCAAGGATCATCAACTAGATTCAGCTGCGGACCAATTTTTTCTTGAGCGGATGGTCGGGGGCCCGGAACATAATAAAACAAATATTTGTAGACTGCAAATTAACCGCAAGAAGCCTAAACATATATAATATTTGACTAAAACAATAATTTCAAACCTTGATTACATTTGGGAACATTGTCCTGTGTAGGGTGCCGTCTTTCGGATGGGACGTTAAAACGGGTGTTCTGACTCTCTGTGGTCATTCAAAATCCCATGCCGCTTATTGTAAGAGTAGGTGTATTCACCCCGGTGTCATGGCTAAATTCCCAACCTGGCCACATTCCATCATGGCCACCTCATTCCTAATTGGCATATATCACTCCTAGCCTCTCCACCTGATAGCTGATGTGTGGTGAGCGTTCTGGCACAAAAATGGTCGCCGTGTATCACTGAGGTGGGTGCTACACATTTCTCCCTACTATGTAAAGCGCTTTGAGTACCTCAGTTGGTAGAAAAGTGCTATATAAATCCAATCAATAATTATGAATTATTATTTGTATACGATCACATATGTCTCTCTATTATACGTGGGAATACTTGGGAACAGATTTCCGAAATGAAAATCACTTGGAGCTGATTTCCTGGTGTTTTTACAGTCTTTTATGTCCAACAATGAAAATTAAGTTGGGGAACCCTGGTTTAAGGGCTCAACAGTATATTTCTCTGCTATTAGGAGTAATGCTGTTCTCTGCTGTAATTGTATTCAACTATACTGTAAGTTAAGGGAAAGAGAAAGGGATTTTGTGTGTGCACTTACATGCATGTGTGAGCGATATCTCTGTACTTAAGTGTCTTGTGTGTTTGTGGAAGCTTAACAGGAGGTAAACACAGGAAGTACAGATTACCAGTACATAATGATTTAAATGATACACTAGATGACTGATAGGGAATGCATTGTTGAAGCCACCATACCTCCATCTTGGCACTCCCCCACCAGTGTAAAACATTTTTTGAAAGCTATAGAAATGCATGTATTAATGTCTGCATTCGTCTTTGCCACATGTATTCTATTACAGACACGTAAGTGCATACTTTTAAATTATATTATTTGAGCAAAAAATAAAAAACATTTTCCTTAAATTAAATTTTTTTTGAGATTACTAATGTTAATGTCTCCACTAGAACAACAAAAATACTGAAATACATGTAATTTGGTCCTTGAAACATTTAATATAAATACTGTAGAATTCCATTCATTCCTACGGAGGACTGCTCCTACTGGGGAGTGCCAAAATGGCCGACCGGTGGCTTCAAAGCCTCTCAATAGTAACAGCAATCCAGGGTTTATATGCATCATTGCAAGTACAGCAGTAGGCTAATCGAGCCTAAAGCCTGTTATTTGCTAGCTCTGGACTGTAGTGATTTAAAAGCAAATACAATGTTGGTAATCTTAGGCCTGGTTACAAGTGGAAACGTCTCCAGCAGCATGTTGAGGAGAAGAGAAGAATCCCCCATGCGTAATGGCGTTTCCCACAGCCCCTCCATTAGACTGAGAACACATGGCACTGAGCTCCTTCCTCACAGGACTCACTGTGATACTGGCACTGCTCTGTGTGTGTCACTGCTCTGTGAGTAGGGAGACTCAATCAGAATTCGTCATCATAATTCCAGCATGATATGGTGTAGATTTATACATTTAAAACAGAGTCAGTTAAAGGGCACAGCACTTTTGGTTAGAAAACTGAAATAGTTTATTATGGCAGTATTCTTAACATGCAGTACATCCATGACCAGAGCTTTAGATTGCTAGAAGAATTGATAGACTTAAAGGGACTTCATATATAATATATAATATGCCATTTAGCAGACGCTTTTATCCAAAGTGACTTACAGTCATGCGTGCATACATTTTTTTGTGTATGGGTGGTCCCGGGGATCGAACCCACTACCTTTGCGTTACAAGCGCCGTGCTCTACCAGCTGAGCTACAGAGGACCATCATCTCCAGCACCACCCAAACATCAACGTATGAAAATCGCGCGTTTCTAAAAGATAGAGGAAGATAAGTGTTTCCAATGGCATCATCAACAATTAGTAGTCAATGCCTACTCATAATTGGTTAAAATCACATAATGCACACCGATGGTGTCATTGGAAACACTTACAGTGCCTTCAGAAAGTATTCATAACCTTTGACTTATTCCACATTTTGCTGTGGAATTCGAATTGGAATAAAACAATGTTTTTATCTCTCCCATCTACACACAATATTCCATAATGACAAAGTCAAAACATGTTTTTAGACAGTTTTAGAAATGTATTGAAAATGAAATACAGAAATATCTAATTTACATAAGTATTCACACCCATGAGTCAATACTTGTTAGAATCACCTTTGACAGTGATTTCAGCTGTGAGTCTTTCTGGGAAGTCTCTAAGAGCTTTGCACACCTGGATTGGACAATATTATTATTTAAAAAATTATTCAAGCTCTGTCAAGTTGGTTGTTGATCATTGCTAGACAGCCATTTTCAAGTCTTGCCATAGATTTTCAAGCCTATTTAAGTCAAAACTGTAACTAGGACACTCAGGAACAGTCAATGTCATCTTGGTAAGCAACTCCAGTGTATATTTTGCCTTGTGTTTTAGGTTATTGTCCTGCTGAAAGGTGAATTTGTCTCCCAGTTTCTGTTGGAAAGCTTGGATTTTCCTCTAGGATTTTCCCTGTGCTTAACTCTATTCTGTTTGTTTTTTTCCTAAAAAAACCTCCCTTGCCGATGACAAGCATACCCATAACATGATGCAGCTACCACCATGCTTGAAAATATGGAGAGTGGTACTCAGTAATGTGTTGTGTTGGATTTGCCCCAAACATAACACTTTGTTTTCAGGACATTAAGTTTTTAAAAAAATCCCACATTTTTTGCAGTTTTACTTACATTTACATTTACATCATTTAGCAGACGCTCTTATCCAGAGCGACTTACAAATGGGTGCATTCAACTTATGATAGCCAGTGGGACAACCACCTTTTTTTATGGGGGGTGGGGGAAGAAGGATTACTTTATACTATTCCAGGTATTCCTTAAAGAGGTAGGGTTTCAAGTGTCTCCGGAAGGTGGTCAGTGACTCCGCTGTCCTGGCGTCGTGGGGGAGCTTGTTCCACCATTGGGGTGCCAGAGCAGCGAATAGCTTTGACTGGGCTGAGCGGGAACTGTGCTTCCGTAGAGGTAGGGGAGCTAGCAGGCCAGAGGTGGATGAACGTAGTGCCCTCGTTTGGGTGTAGGGTCTGATCAGAGCCTGAAGGTAAGGAGGTGCCGTTCCCCTCACAGCTCTGTAGGCAAGCACCATGGTCTTGTAGTAGATACGAGCCTCAACTGGAAGCCAGTGGAGTGTGCGGAGGAGCGGGGTAACATGAGAGAACTTGGGAAGGTTGAACACCAGACGGGCTGCAGCGTTCTGGATAAGTTGAAGGGGTTTAATGGGACAGGCAGGGAGCCCAGCCAACAGCGAGTTGCAGTAATCCAGACGGGAGATGACAAGTGCCTGGATTAGGACCTGTGCCGCTTTCTGTGTAAGGTAGGGTCGTACTCTGCGAATGTTGTAGAGCATGAACCTGCAGGATCGGGTCACCGCTTTGATGTTAGTGGAGAACGAAAGGGTATTGTCCAGGGTCACGCCAAGGTTCTTTGCACTCTGGGAGGAGGACACAATGGAGTTGTCAACTCTGATGGCGAGATCATGGAGCGGGCAGTCCTTCCCCGGGAGGAAGAGCAGCTCCGTCTTGCCGAGGTTCAGCTTGAGGTGGTGATCCGACATCCACACTGATATGTCTGCCAGACATGCAGAGATGCGATTCGCCACCTGGTTATCAGAAGGGGGAAAGGAGAAAATTAATTGTTTGTCGTCGGTGTAGCAATGATAGGAGAGACCATGTGAGGATATGACAGAGCCAAGTGACTTGGTGTATAGAGAGAATAGGAGAGGGCCTAGAACTGAGCCCTGGGGGACACCAGTGGTGAGAGCACATGGTGCGGAGACAGATTCTCGCCACGCCACCTGGTAGGAGCGACCTGTCAGGTAGGACGCAATCCAAGAGTGAGCAGCGCCGGAGATGCCCAACTCGGAGAGGGTGGAGAGGAGGATCTGATGGTTCACAGTATCAAAGGCAGCGGATAGGTCTAGAAGGATAACAGCAGAGGAGAGAGAGTTAGCTTTAGCAGTGCGGAGAGCCTCCGTGACACAGAGAAGAGCAGTCTCAGTTGAATGACCAGTCTTGAAACCTGACTGGTTTGGATCAAGAAGGTCATTCTGAGAGAGATAGCAGGAGAGTTGGCTAGAGACGGCACACTCGAGTTCTGGTCTGTAGTTGTTGACATCGATTTTTTGAGGAGGGGTGCAACTCTCGCTCTCTTGAAGACGGAAGGGACATGGCCAGCGGTCAAGGATGAGTTGATGAGTGAGGTGAGGTAAGGGAGAAGGTCTCCGGAAATGGTCTGGAGAAGAGAGGAGGGGATAGGGTCAAGCGGGCAGGTTGTTGGGTGGCCGGCCGTCACAAGTCGCATGATTTAATCTGGAGAGAGAGGAGAGAAAGAAGTCAAAGCATAAGGTAGGGAAATGTGAGCAGGACCAGCGGTGTCATTTGACTTAATAAATGAGGATCGGATGTCGTCAACCTTCTTTTCAAAATGGTTAACGAAGTCATCCACAGAGAGCGATGAGGGAGGGGGAGGAGGAGGGGGATTCAGCAGGGAGGAGGTGACAAAGAGCTTCCTAGGGTTAGAGGCAGAGGCTTGAAATGTAGAGTGGTAGAAAGTGGCTTTAGCAGCGGAAACAGAGGAAGAGAATGTAGAGAGGAGGGAGTGAAAAGATGTCAGGTCCGCAGGGAGTCTAGTTTTCCTCCATTTCCTCTCGGCTGCCCGGAGCCCTCTTCTGTGAGCTCGCAATGAGTTGTCAAGCCACGGAGCAGGAGGGGAGGACCGAGCCGGCCAGGAGGATAGGGGACATAGAGAGTCAAAAGATGCAGAAAGGGAGGAGAGGAGGGTTGAGGAGGCAGAATCAGAAGATCGGAGGGAGAAGGATTTAGCAGAGGGAAGAGATGATAGGATGGAAGAGGAGAGAGTAGCGGGAGAGAGAGAGCGAAGGTTGCGATGGCACATTACCATCGGAGTAGGGGCAGAGTGAGTAGTGTTGGAGGAGAGCGAGAGAGAAAAGGATACAAAGTAGTGGTTGGAGACTTGGAGGGGAGTTGCAGTGAGATTAGTAGAAGAACAGCATCTAGTAAAGATGGGGGGGGGACGGTGAGAGGGTGAGGTCAAAATAGGAAAGGAGTGGAAAGAAGGAGGCAGAGAGAAATGAGTCAAAGGCAGACGTAGGGAGGTTAAAGTCACCCAGAACTGTGAGGGGTGAGCCATCCTCAGGAAAGGAACTTATCAAGGCGTCAAGCTCATTGATGAACTCTCCAAGGGAACCTGGAGGGCAATAAATGACAAGGATGTTAAGCTTGAATGGGCTAGTGACTGTGACAGCATGGAATTCAAATGAGGAGATAGACAGATGGGTCAAGGGAAAAAGAGAGAATGTCCACTTGGGAGAGATGAGGATTCCTGTGCCACCGCCGCGCTGACTAGATGCTCTCGGGGTATGCGAGAACACATGGTCAGACGAGGAAAGAGCAGTAGGAGTAGCAGTGTTTTCTGTGGTAATCCATGTTTCCGTCAGCGCCAAGAAGTCGAGGGACTGGAGGGTAGCATAGGCTGAGATGAACTCTGCCTTGTTGGCCGCAGAACGGCAGTTCCAGAGGCTGCCGGAGACCTGGAACTCCACGTGGGTCGTGCGCGCAGGGACCACCAGATTAGAGTGGCAGCAGCCACACGGTGTGAAGCGTTTGTATGGCCTGTGCAGAGAGGAGAGAACAGGGATAGACAGACACATAGTTGACAGGCTACAGAAAAAGGCTACAATAATGCAAAGGAGATCGGAATGAAATGAACTAAACATCTGGGAAAGCGAGAGAGCGGGGCCTCCCTCACTTACGTTTCACTGAAACACTCAAATACACTGCTCAAAAAAATAAAGGGAACACTTAAACAACACAATGTAACTCCAAGTCAATCACACTTCTGTGATATCAAACTGTCCACTTAGGAAGCAACACTGATTGACAATACATTTCACATGCTGTTGTGCAAATGGAATAGACAACAGGTGGAAATTATAGGCAATTAGCAAGACACCCCCAATAAAGGACTGGTTTTGCAGGTGGTGACCACAGACCACTCCTCAGTTCCTATGCTTCCTGGCTGATGTTTTGGTCACTTTTGAATGCTGGCGGTGCTTTCACTCTAGTGGTAGCATGAGACGGAGTCTACAACCCACACAAGTGGCTCAGGTAGTGCAGCTCATCCAGGATGGCACATCAATGCGAGCTGTGGCAAGAAGGTTTGCTGTGTCTGTCAGCGTAGTGTCCAGAGCATGGAGGCGCTACCAGGAGACAGGCCAGTACATCAGGAGACGTGGAGGAGGCCGTAGGAGGGCAACAACCCAGCAGCAGGACTGCTACCTCTGCCTTTGTGCAAGGAGGAGCAGGAGGAGCACTGCCAGAGCCCTGCAAAATGACCTCCAGCAGGCCACAAATGTGCATGTGTCTGCTCAAACGGTCAGAAACAGATTCCATGAGGGTGGTATGAGGGCCCGACATCCACAGGTGGGGGTTGTGCTTACAGCCCAACACCGTGCAGGACGTTTGGCATTTGCCAGAGAACACCAAGATTGGCAAATTCGCCACTGGCACCTTGTGCTCTTCACAGATGAAAGCAGGTTCACACTGAGCACATGTGACAGACGTGACAGAGTCTGGAGACGCCGTGGAGAATGTTCTGCTGCCTGCAACATCCTCCAGCATGAACGGTTTGGCGGTGGGTCAGTCATGGTGTGGGGTGGCATTTCTTTGGGGAGCCGCACAGCCCTCCATGTGCTCGCCAGAGGTAGCCTGACAGCCATTAGGTACCGAGATGAGATCCTCAGACCCCTTGTGAGACCATATGCTGGTGCGGTTGGCCCTGGGTTCCTCCTAATGCAAGACAATGCTAGACCTCATGTGGCTGGAGTGTGTCAGCAGTTCCTGCAAGAGGAAGGCATTGATGCTATGGACTGGCCCGCCCGTTCCCCAGACCTGAATCCAATTGAACACATCTGGGACATCATGTCTCGCTCCATCCACCAACGCCACGTTGCACCACAGACTGTCCAGGAGTTGGCGGATGCTTTAGTCCAGGTCTGGGAGGAGATCCCTCAGGAGACCATCCGCCACCTCATCAGGAGCATGCCCAGGCGTTGTAGGGAGGTCATACAGGCACGTGGAGGCCACACACACTACTGAGCCTCATTTTGACTTGTTTTAAGGACATTACATCAAAGTTGGATCAGCCTGTAGTGTGGTTTTCCACTTTAATTTTGAGGGTGACTCCAAATCCAGACCTCCATGGGTTGATACATTTGATTTCCATTGATAATTTTTGTGATTTTGTTGTCAGCACATTCAACTATGTAAAGAAAAAAGTATTTAGTAAGATTATTTCATTCATTCAGATCTAGGATGTGTTATTTTAGTGTTCCCTTAATTTTTTTGAGCAGTGTATAACTCTCCCAACTTCCACTTAAGAAATTATAATTGTTGTAAACTACAGCAGTTCAATGTTTTCTAGGAATAGACTCTAACTTAGTTTATTCAGCTAACTAACTTGGTACAGTATTCTTCCGTGAAAACCGTCCAGGGCACCGATTCCTATGACGCCATAGCCAACTAGCATGCCAGCCTCCAATAACACGGTTTAGCACCAATACTCGGTTACAACAAACCAGTGTGTTAACACGCCAAACAGATCATTCGTGTCCGTGTCTAACGTTGTGTAAAGTTTTGGGTTAGTTTTGACAGTTTGAGTGAGTACGTCGTCAACTTATTCAGCCAGTTAGTTAGCTAGAATAGTTAGCATACTAGCTAGCCATTGCTCTCTGCCAACGAACCACCCCTCCTCCGACGGCACGAAACACACAGAGAGAGCCAAGCTAACGTTAACTAGTCACCCATGTCCCGAATTCCCTTGAACGACTCTTGTTACCAGTATGTAAAAACAAAACAAAAATAAATGTAGGTTATAACTGACCCTTAGTAGCTACTGTTAGCCATTTAAGTGCAAAGCTAGCCACTGAAGCGATTCAGCCAGTTCGCATCTGTCTCAACGGAGAGAAAGCGTCTCCAAATATTACAGCTAGGTCGTTCCAGCTATTGCTTAGTTAGCTATCCAGGTAGCAACAAGCTAGTTACATTTCCAGTACAGTAGCCACTAACTACCTAACGTTAACGCTTCAGATAATGAGGTTAGAAAAACAGCTGAATGGTAGCTAGCTAGCTGGCATAATTACAGGTACTCTTAAGTGTGAAATTACATTGGAAACAATTATCCACAGTTGCTAATAGTTACCAGTAGCTACCCGCTAGCTAGCTAGCTTTATTGGTCCAGGTAGTGGGTTAGCTAGCCTCGTGCTTCACCGGGCTCAGCCGAATACAATACTTACCTACAATAATTACCTACAATAACCTACAATATCTACATAGATAAACGACCTACAATACCTAACTACAATGCCTACCTACAATCTAAATACATGGTTTAAGCTTTACTCGACACCATATTAGAAGCCAAGCTTACCTCCCGCTAGAGAAAATACAACCTCACCCGACCAGACCAGGAACAATATCAAAATGTATACTTCAGTGCCTTATTGCAAACAGGATGCATGTTTTGGAATATTTGTATTCTGTACAGGCTTCCTTCTTTTCATGCTGTCATTTAGGTTAGTATTGTGGAGTAACTACAATGTTGTTGATACATCCTCAGTTTTCTCCTATCACAGCCATTAAACTCTAACTGTTTTAAAGTCACCATTGGCCTCATGGTGAAATCCCTGAGCGGTTTCCTTCCTCTCCGGCAACTGAGTTAGGAAGGACACCTGTATCTTTGCAGTGACTGGGTGCATTGATACACCATCCAAAGTGTAATTAATAACTTCACCATGCTTTACTTTTTTTTTTAAACTCATCTACCAATAGGTGCCCTTCTTTGAGAGGCATTGGAAAACCTCCCTGGTCTTTGTGTTTGAAATTCACTGCTCGACTGAGGGACCTTATAGACAATTTTATGTGTGGGGTACAGAGATGGATTAAAACACTATTATTAAACACTATTATTGCACACAGAGTGAGTCCATGCAACTTATTATGTGACTTGTTAAGCACATTTTTTACTCCTGAACTTATTTAGGCTTGCCAATACAAAGGGGTTCAATACTTATTGACTCAAGACATTTCAGCTTTTCATTTTTAATTTGTAAAAATGTCTAAAAACAGAGTTCCACTTTGACATTATGGGGTATTGTGTGTAGGCCAGTGACACAACATCTCAATTTGATCTATTTTAAATTCAGGGCTGTAACACAACAAAATGTGGAAAAAGTCAAGGGGTGTGAATACTTTCTGAGGGCACTGTATCTTCCTCTATCATAGAAATGTGCCATTTTTACATATGTTGACGGGTGGTGCTGGAAATAATGAATATGAAGTTGAACATTTTTTAAATGTCCCTGTAGGAGCAACATGTTCCAGAATACACCGACAATACCATGTTTGTTTCAAACTCTAGTCGCAGCTTTGTTCCTCTGTCTTCAGGGAGATTGTGACATGAATGATTTGGACCTGCTTCCCCTCTATCCGGCTATGTATCAGATGGCTTATAACCCACGCTGGGGACTGAGACATGTATATGGCAGAGTTTTCACAAGTGGAGAAATTCAATCCCTGGCTCCAGGCAAGATTTACAACTGTGTCTGAAAGAAGAGAAGAGGAGAGGAGAAGTGAAGAGAGGACAGGACAGGAGAGGATAGGACTGGAGGATGTGACGGAGCGGTGCGGGGGTGCCCACACGGACAGGACAGACAAACAGCTGTCACAGCTAGTAGGCCCATTGTTCGTACTGGGCTTTATATCCCAGCAGTTTTTTTTAAATACAGCGCTTGGCTAAGAGGGACAGGCTCCTAATGGGAGAGTTTCTTAGTTTCCCTTCTGTCACAGCATCAGCAAAGAAACTGGCGCTGACAGAGCCGACTGAGCCGTAATGAGGGAAGAGAAGTAAGGCTTGGGAGCCTGCGGTTAGCGTCACATTTAGAGAGTGAGCAGGAGGAGTTCACAGGTGAGGGCTGACTGTGCTGTGACTGTACTGCTGGACTGGTCACAGCTCCCTGAAGCAGTGACTGTGTTAATTAAGCCTCGCACAAAATGCACCAAATGTGAATCTAGCATTAATCTGCCGGTTGTTCAGTGTGCTGTGTTTTAAGGACCACCCGCTGTAGATGTCTGATTGCTGAAATTTTTCACACGATTTTACATGTAAAATTGGTGCACACTTGGTGCGGAAATTACGTTCAGAGGTGATAAGTACTCTCTGAGCCCTTAGATATTCAGTCTGCTGGTTCTCTTTAACAGGCATGTGATTGTGGTGCTGTGCTGATCTGTTCACACACTATTATTATCTCAGGGCTGATGTTAGGAAGTGTGTTCTGTGACAACGTGGCTCTGGAATGGGAACACACAGTACTGCTGCCCGGTGGCACTGCTTTACTGAACCTGAGGGAGGATCTGACAAGCCCTGGCAGTGTTGGTCTGGGATACAGGGACAGGATGTCAACAGACTCTGAGGTTTCACTTAATGCTTTGGGACATCCAACTAGAAATATTTTTAGTCATGCAGAATTCTGTATATTCTGGGCAATGCGCGTTGGATGCCATAGAGGAAACATATCAGTGACATGACTCCTTTATGTAGTTTTTGTGTGGACTGTTTTCACTTCATTCAACAACATTATGAATTGCGTTAGAGTAGGCAGTAGAGGGATGTGTTTTATCTCTAATTTAGTATACATTTAGTGAATGATAATCACATGGTCAAGTACCACAGTGAGCACATGCTGCTGTGCTTCAAAGAGAGGCTGAGTGGGAGAGACACAGGGAGAGATGTTATCTGTCTGCTCTGGCCTAAAAGAGCTGACTGAAAGGCTTTTGAAATCAGGTGAAACCGTTGATGTTCACAGTCGGCATTATTACTTTGTAAAGGTTTGGTGAATTGACGTTGAAGTGACAGTTTGTTCTATTTGTGATAAGGTCTGAGGTAGCCCTCTTACAAAGACTTGAGGCATAATTCAAGTTTTGAATAAAGGAGAGAGCATTCATTTCTCTACCATAGAGACCAACAGATGAATATCTGTATTCCCAGTCATGTGAAATCCATAGATTAGGGCCTAATGAATTTATTTTAATTGACTGATTTCCTTATATGAACTGTACCTCAGTAAAATCTTTGAAATTGTTGAATGTTGCGTTTATATTTTTGTTCAGTGTAGAATAGATATGACCAGTATATTGACTTTTAGCTACCTTTATGTTTCCCCATCTGGTCTCAGTGGTCAACATATACTGAGTGTACAAACATTAAGAACACCTTCTCTTTCCATGACATAGACTGCCCAGGTAAATCCAGGTGAAAACTTAATGATGTCACTTGTTAAATCTGCTTCAATCAGCGTAGGGAGGAGACAGGTTAAAGAAGGATGTTCAAGTCTTGAAACAATTGCGACATGGATTGTGTATGTGTGCTATTCAGAGGGGGAATGGGCAAAATAAACGATTTAAGTGTCTTTGAACAGGGGTGTTGTGCAACTCAATATTAGGAAGGTGTTCCTTAATGTTTGGTATACTCAGTGTATACTACTTAAAAAATATCCAGCCATGTAGTAAAAGGTCCCCATTTCTGTCCTCTGCTCTTTGTCACCTTGCATTGTTATAAAGTGGTAATGACCTAAATCAGTTTATATCCTCAGAGATAAAGGTGAAGGCAGATTAACCACATACAGTATTGAATTATCCTCCTCTTGCCTTTGCTCAGTCCCTCTGTGGTCTCCTCTAAAGGCTGTAGTGCCCTGAACTAGAATAGATATGACCAGGATATTGAATTTGAGCAACCTTTCTGTTTCCCCATCTGGTCTCAGTGGTCAACATATACTGAGTGTACAAAACATTACACACTACAAAAGTATGTGGACACCACTTTAAATGAGTGGATTCTGCTATTTCAGCCACACCCGTTACTGAAAGGTGTATAAAATCGAGCACACAGCCATGCAATCTCTATAGACAAACATTGGCAGTAGAATGGCCCGTACTGAAAAGCTCAGTGACTTTCAACGTGGCACTGTCATAGGATGCCACCTTTCCAACAAGTCAGTTTGTCAAATTTCTGCCCTGCTAAAGCTGCCTTGGTCAACTGTGCTGTTATTGTGAAGTGGAAACGTCTAGGAGCAACAACAGCTCAGCCACGAAGGGTTAGACCACACGAACTCACAGAACGGGACAGCCGAGTGTTGAAGCGCGTAGCGCGTAAAAATCGTCTGTCCTCGGTTGCAACACTCACTATCGAGTTCCAAACTGCCTCTGGAAGCATAGTCATCACAATAACTGTTTGTCGGGAGCTTCATGAAATGGGTTTCTATGGCGGAGCAGCCGCACACAAGCCTAAGATCACGGATGCCAGGAGAACACTACCTGCTCAAATTCATAGTGCCAACTGTTAAGTTTGGAGGAGGAGGAATAATAGTCTGGGGCTGTTTTTCATGGTTCGGGCTAGGCCCCTTAGTTCCAGTGAAGGGAAATCTTAACGCTACAGCATACAATGACATTCTAGACGATTCTGTGCTTCCAACTTTGTGGCAACAGTTTGGGGAAGGACCTTTCCTGTTTCAGCATGACAATGCCCCAGTGCACAAAGCGAGGTCCATACAGAAATGGTTTGTCGAGATCGGTGTTGAAGAACCTGACTGGCATGCACAGAGACCTGACATCAACCCCATTGAACACCTTTGGGATGAATTGGAACACTGACTGCGAGCCAGGCCTAATCGCCCAACATCAGTGCACGACCTCACTAATGCTCTTGTGGCTGAGTGGAAGCAAGTCCCCGCAGCAATGTTCCAACATCTAGTGGAAAGCTTTACCAGAAGAGTGGAGGCTGTTATAGCATCAAAGGGGGGACCAACTCCATATTAATGCCCATGATTTTGGAATGAGATGTTCGACGAGCAGGCATCCACATACTTTTGTCCATGTAGTGTACATTGACCAGGTGAATCCAGGTGAAAGCTATGATCCCTTATTGATGTCACTTGTTAAATCCACTTCAATCAGTGTAGATGAAGGGGGAGGAGACAGGTTAAAAAAAGATGTTTAAGCCTTGAGACAATTGAGACATGGATTGTGTATGTGTGCCATTTAGAGGGTGAATGGGCAAGACAAAATATTTAAGTGCCAGGCGCACCGGTTTGTGTCAAGAACTGCACCGCTGCTGGGTTTTTCACGCTCAACATTTCCCGTGTGTATCAAGAATGTTCCACCACCCAAAGGACATCCAGCCAACTTGACACAACTGTGGGAAGCATTGGAGTCAACATGGGCCAGCATCCCTGTGGAATGCTTTCAACACCTTGTAGAGTCCATGCCCCGACGAATTGAGGCTGTTCTGAGGGCAAAAGGGTGGAGTGCAACTCAATATTAGGAAGGTGTTCTTAATGTTTGATATACTCAGTGTATACTACTTAAAATATCCAGCCATGTTGTAACTCAGACAGACTTATATGCTAATATACCGTGTGCTTTCTAGTGACAACACTGGAATCATGTAGTGTTAAGGTCAAATGAATCATGAACTCTACCAAGTACCAGGACATTTTAGCCATAAACCTGGTTGCCTCTGCCAGGAGGCTGAAACTTGGCCTCAAGGAGTTCTTCCAGTAAGACATGACCCCAGTAACACATCAAAATCCACAAGGATTTATATTTTATATTTGAGATTCTTCAAAGTAGCCACCCTTTGCCTTGATGACAGCTTTGCACACTATTGGCATTCTCTCAACCAGCTTCATGAGGAATGCTTTTCCAACAGTCTTGTAGGAGTTCCCACATATGCTGAGCACTTGTTGGCTGCTTTTTCTTCACTCTGCGGTCCAACTCATCCCAAACCATCCCAATTGGGTTGAGGCCAAGTCATCTGATGCAGCACCATCACTCTCCTTCTTGGTCAAATAGCCCTTACACAGCCTGGAGGTGTGTTTTGGGTCATTGTTCTGTTGAAAAACAAATGATAGTCCCACTAAGCCCAAACCAGATGGGATGACATATCCAAGAATGCTGTGGTAGCCATGCTGGTTAAGTGTGCCTTTAAATCTAAATAAATCACTGACAGTGTGACCAACAGAGCACCCCCACACCATCACACCTCCTCCTCCATGCTTCACGTTGGGAACCACACATGCAGAGATCATCCATTCATCTACACCTCGTCTCACAAAGACACGGCGGTTGGAACCAAAAATCTCAAATTTGGACTCATCAGACCAAAGGACAGATTTCCACGGGTCTAATGTCAATTTCTCGTGTTTCTTGGCCTAAGCAAGTCTCTTCTTATTATTGGTGTCCTTTAGTAGTGGTTTCTTTGCAGCAATTCGACCATGAATGCCTGATTCACACAGTCTCCTCTGAACAGTTGATGTTGAGATGTGTCTGTTACTTGAACTCTGTGAAGCATTTATTTGGGCTGCGATCTGAGGTGCAGTTAACTCTAATGAACTTATCCTCTGCAGCAGAGGTAACTCTGGGTCTTCCTTTCCTGTGGCAGTCCTCATGAGAGCCAGTTTCATCATAGCGGTTGATGGTTTTTGCGACTGCACTTGAGGAAACTTTCAAAGTTCTTGAAATGTTCCGTATTGACCGACGTTCATGTCTTAAAGTAATGATGGACTGTCATTTCTCTTTGCTTATTTGAGCTGTTCTTGCCATAATATGGACTTGGTCTTTTACCAAATAGTGCTGTCTTCTGTATACCACCCCTACCTTGTCAAAACACAACTGATTGGCTCAAACGCATTAAGAAGGAAAGAAATTCCACAAACTTTTTACAAGGCACACCTGTTAATTGAAATGCATTCCAGGTGACTACCTCATGAAGCTGGTTGAGAGAATGCCAAGTGTGTGCAAAGCTGTCATCAAGGCAAAGGGTGGCTACTTTGAAGAATCTAAAATCTAAAATATATTTTGATTTGTTTAACACTTTGGTGGTTACTACATGATTCCATGTGTTATTTTATAATTTTGATGTCTTCACTATTATTCGACAATGTAGAAAATAGTAAAAATAAAGAAAAACCCTTGAATTAGTAGGTGTGTCCAAACTTTTGACTGGTACTGTACATGTTGGGTGTCTTGCTCTAGGACGCCCACAGGCCTCTCAAGACTCAACTGAAGGTCCCCCTGTGCAGTGCCTTCGGAAAGTATTCAGACCCCTTGACTTTTTCCACATTTTGTTAGGTTACAGCCTTATTCTAAAATTGATTAAATCGTTTTTTCTACACACAATACATCAATCTACACACAATACCCCATAATTACAAAGCAAAAACTGGTTTTTAGACATTTTTGCTCATTTATTTGTAAAAAAACGGAAACATCACACATACATAAGTATTCAGACCCTTTAAGCAGGATTGTTGTTGAAGCACCTTTGGCAGGGATTACAGCCTTGAGTCTTCTTGGGTATGACGCTACAAGCTTGGCACACCTGTATTTGGGGAGTTTCTCCCATTCTTCTCTGCACATCCTCTCAAGCTCTGTCAGGTTGGATGGGGAGCGTTGCTGCACAGCTATTTTCAGGTCTCTTCAGAGATGTTGGATTGGGTTCAAGTCCGGGATCTGGCTGGGCCACTCAAGGACATTCAGAGACTTGTCCCGAAGCCACTCCTGCATTGTCTTGGCTTTGTGCTTAGGATCGTTGTCCTGTTGGAAGGTGAACCTTCACCCCAGTCTGAGGACCTGAGCGCTCTGGAGCAGGTTTTCATCAAGGATATCCCTGTACTTTGCTCCATTCATCTTTGCCTTGATCCTGACTAGTCTCCCAGTCCCTCCCACTGAAAAACATCCCCACAGCATGATGCTGCCACCACCATGCTTCACCGTAGGGATGGTGCCAGGTTTCCTCCAGACGTGACGCTTGGCATTCAGGCCAAAGAGTTCAATCTTGGTTTCATCAGACCAGAGAATCTTGTTTCTCATGGTCTGAGAGTCTTTAGGTGCCTTTTACTGAGGAGTGGCTTCCATCTGGCCACTCTACCATAAAGGCCTTATAGGTGGAGAGCTGCAGAGATGGTTGTCCTTCTGGATTGTTCTCCCATCTCCACAGAGGAACTCCAGAGCTCTGTCAGAGTGACCATCGGGTTCTTGGTCACCTCCCTGACCAAGGCCCTTCGCCCCCGATTGCTCAGTTTGGCCGGGCGGCCAGCTCTAGGAAGAGTCTTGGTGGTTCCAAACTTCTTCCATTTAAGAATGATGGAAGCCACTGTGTTCTTGGGGACCTGCAATGCTGCAGAAATGTTTTGGTACCCTTCCCCAGATCTGTGCCTCGACACAATCCTGTCTCGGACCACTACGGACAATTCCTTCGACCTCATGGCTTGGTTTTTCCTCTGACATGCAATGTCAACTGTGGGACCTTATATAGACAGGTGTGCCTTTCCAAATCATGTCCAATCAATTGAATTTACCACAGGTAGACTCCAATCAAGTTGTAGAAACATCTCAAGGATGGTCAATGGAAGCAGGATGAACCTGAGCTCAATTTCGAGTCTCATAGCAAAGGGTCTGAATACTTATATACAGTGCCTTGCAAAAGTATTCATCCCCTGTCACGCCCTGGCTCTGGGGACTCTTATATGTTGAGCCAGGGTGTGGATTTTCTATGTTTTGTTTTCTATGTTTTTGGTTCTAGTTCGTTTTGATCTATGTTGGCCAGGGTGGTTCCCAATCAGAGGCAGCTGTAGCTCGTTGTCTCTGATTGGGGACCATACTTAGGCAGCCTGTTTGGCACTAGTATTTTGTGGGATCTTGTTCCGTAGAGGTTTGTGTTGTAACCTAGGACTTCACGTATCGTTTGTTTATTGTTTTGGTTTGTGTTGTGTACACTAATAAAGAATGTACGCTTATCACGCTGCGCCTTGGTCCGCTTCATCTGTCGATGATCGTGACATCCCCCTTGGCATTTTTCCTATTTTGTTGCATTACAACCTGTAATTGAAATTGATTTTTATTTGGATTTCATGTAATGGAAATACACAAAATATAGTCTAAATTGGTGAAGTGAAATGAAAAAAATTACTTGTTTCAGAAAATTCTAAAAAATAAATGGGCGTGCATATGTATTCATCCTCTTTGCTTTGAAGCCCCTAAATAAGATATGGTGCAACCAATTACCTTCAGAAGTCACATTATTGAACTAATTAAGTCCAACTGTGTGCATTCTAAGTGTCACATGATCTGTCACATGATCTCAGTATATATACACCTGTTCTGAAAGGCCCCAGAGTCTGCAACACCACTAAGCAAGCGGCACCATGAAGACCAAGGAGCTCTTTATACAGGTCAGGGACAAAGTTGTGGAGAAGTACATATCAGGGTTGGGTTATAAAAAAATATCTGAAAACGTTGAACATCGCACGGAGCACCATTAAATATATTATTTAAAAAATGGAAAGAATATGGCACCACAACAAACCTGCCAAGAGAGGGCCGTCCACCAAAACTCATGGACCAGGCAAGGAGGGCATTAATCAGAGAGGCAACAAAGAGACTAAATATAACCCTGAAGGAGCTGGAAAGCTCCACAGCTGAGATTGGAGTATCTGTCCATAGGACCACTTTAAGCCGTACATTCCACAGAGTTGGGCTTTACGGAAGAGTGGCCAGAAAAAAGCCATTGCTTAAAAATAATAAAAAAAGCAAATATGTTTGGTGTTCGCCAAAAGGCATGTGGGAGACTCCCCAAACATATGGAAGAAGGTACTCTGGTCAGATGAGACTAAAATTGAGCTTTTTGGCCATCAAGGAAAACGCTATGTCTGGCATAAACTCAACACCTCTCATCACCCCGAGAACACCATCCCCACAGTGAAGCATGGTGGTGGCAGCATGCACTAAACATCTGAAGTATGAAAAATGTATGCACTCACTAACTGTAAGTCGCTCTGGATAAGAGCGTCTGCTAAATGACTAAAATGTAAAAAATGTAAAATGTTTTTCATCGGCAGGGACTGGGAAACTGGTTAGAATTGAAGGAATGATAGATGGCGCTAAATACAGGGAAATTCTTGAGGGAAACCTGTTTCAGTCTTCCAGAGATTTGAGACTCGGATGGAGGTTCACCTTCCAGCAGGACAATGACCCTAAGCATACTGCTAAAGCAACAAGTGGTTTAAGGGGAAACATTTAAATGTCTTGGAATGGCCAAGTCAAAGCCCAGACCTCAATCCAATTGAGAATCTGTGGTATGACTTAAAGATTGCTGTACACCAGCGGAACCCATCCAACTTGAAGGAGCTGGAGCAGTTTTGCCTTGAAGAATGGGCAAAAATCCCAGTGGCTAGATGTGCCAAGCTTATAGAGACATACACCAAGAGACTTGCAGCTGTAATTGCTGCAAAAGGTGGCTTTACAAAGTGAATACTTTCCAAGGCACTGTATGTATACCGAGTATGTCCACATCACCATCAGACCATTTTATTGGTAAACTACACGGTAATGTAAAAGTTGTATTTTAAGTGATCCAATACGTAATATAGTACACTTATCATAATTTGGTTGTAATCCAGAGCAGTTAGAACATTTATCTAGATCCTCTATGAGGCTGGGGAGGGATCCAAGTTGTGGATTTAAGAGAGAACATAAATCATCAGCATACAATGACACCTTTGTTTTTAAGCCCTGGATTTCTAATCCCTTGATATTATTGTTGGATCTGATTTTAATAGCTAACATTTTGATGGCCATAATATATAGATCTGCCGATAGTGGACAACCCTTGTTTTACTCCTCTTGACAGTTTAAAACTTCCGGAGAAATAGCCATTATTTACTATTTTACACCTAGGGTTACTATACATGATTTTAACCCATTTTATAAGAGATTCTCCAAAATTGAAATGTTCCAGGCATTTATATATAAACTCTAGTCGTACTTTAACAAAAGCCTTTTCAAAGTCAGCTATGAATAGCAGGCCTGGTTTCCCAGATGTTTCATAGTGTTCTATAGTTTCCAGTACTCGCCTTATATTATCTCCAATGTATCGTCCATGTAAAACACCTGTCTGATTAGGATGAATATTGTCCAACAATACCATTTTAATTCTACGCACTATACATTTTGCACCTGTGGTGTTTGTTTGTGGAAAAGCAATTTTAATGTAACTCCCTCTTTTCCCATTTCCTGTATAAATGTGTGCTGTTGTCATTGTTTTGGAGCCAGAGGGTTTTAATGGGACAGGGTATTTACTGAAATGTACCCTTAGGGAGCTTCAAATGGCTAATTCAAGTGAAATTGCCTTTTCACTTCTGCAGGATGCCTTCTCTAACTCCTTTGTAGTTTATATGAAGCTAAACATTTTTCATGCCTAGGCACATGGAGGTGGTACAGGCTCACTGCTGCTACACAGACATCATCATCATCATGTCCTTTGATAGCTGCCCACTCCTGGACTGTCTGAAAGGGCTGGCATCCCTTGGTGTGGATCCAGTTCCCACAGGCTGGGTCAGTTAGAGCCTGAGACCCATGCAAAAAAAAACGTTCATTTTGAATGGAGTGGCGTGATCCCTGTAGTTGTAGTATGCATTAGCTCAGGCCCTCTGGTCCAGTGAGAGCCTCAAGCAAAGGATCCAGGGGTGAAGCCAAGGCCATGGGTTCCCTATGATGCATGGAGATACAGAGAGATGTGAAGAAGTCTTTACCATCAGAGATGATGAAATGAAAGGCCCTTTGAAGTTTGCATGTGGTGGTTACCCAGTGGAGGAAGAAACTGGGCATTACCCCACCCTGCTGGGTCAGTATGGAGTGCAATGTAGCAGTGTAAGGTAGTAATGTAGGCTACTAGGTGATACAGTAACCACTGGTGTAAGATGCCTGAGAATACAATTTGTTTCTGAGAAAACATGATTTCATCCTGGCATCATGGTGTAACATAAACTGTTTTTCACAACAGATGGCTGCCAGAGAGAGAATGCTCATCCAGATAGATTGAGAACTGTTTAAGGCGCTTAGAAACGGTCATGGGTAAATGTTTTCTGACTATAAATACGCAGAGTGATAGAATTCACATAACACATTGAATGGCATGTTATTTTGTGTTATAAAAGTTAACCTACATTCTGAGAAGAGACAAATATCTTCCACAAAACAAAATTATGAATATGAAAGCAAGCGGATTACAAGATGTCTAGATGCACTTCTCCTTTATAAAGTACAAATATTGGTTATGAGCTCCTATGAAATCCCCAGTGAATCAATGCCCAAGGCTTAGCACAGTGTTTGGAAATAATCAGCAAGCTCCAGTTTACTAATATCAAATCGAGGTGCAATCCTTAACACTTTTGCATCTCTGTTGTCTAACTATCCTTAGGTGTCCATCACTGGCTGTCCGTATTGGATGTGTAACAATTAGCTAAGTGTTTGCTCTTTAGCCAAGATGAATAATAGATCTGGTGAATGATTGTTAAGACACAGAGCAACAGAGCAGGGTTGGTGAGAGACTATACAGTACACATAGGCTAAAGAGCAGTAATTAACACACTCCATTGAATGTGGTCAACATATACACTGTACACAGTACAGTAATGTTTGGCCATATTTGTTACTGGTCCATATGTGTTATTGGTTATTGGCTATGTCGTCGAAACCAAATCTAGTCACCACGATCACACAAAGTCTGGCCATGTGAGTCAGAAGTAGGATATTGTATTTTGGATATTGTCCTGTAGTATTGAGGAATGATGTACCAGGAGAACAGCCCAGGGTCAGGTTGACTGACTGACTGAGACAGACAGGGTTTGTTGTCTCTGTCTCTGTCTCAGGCTATAAAGCAGCATGCATGCTCCACATAGCACACCATCATGGGAAAACACATAACGGGTGTCTTGTAGAAACGGTGAAGGCATAAAGGTAGACCTTAGTTACAGCAATCTATCAAAAGCAAAGATGTCAAAGGTACAGCTGAACTCCCCATGTCCTCAAGATGAAAGTTGTCAGTTAGATAACGTCCTAACCTAGATTTGGCCTCGAGAAATGACAGCTGTCTATCAGTTGACATAATGGTAATGACAGGTGTCAATCATGTCATGATATTGATAGCATTATGACTTATGTATTACAGATGAAGGATCTTCATTGAATGACCCTATTGCAGGATAACTTTTCTGAAATGCAGGACATGTAAAACTTGTAGTATATTTGAGGTTTAAAAAGGCTTCTGAAGTTTGTAATTTTCACTTTGAAATAGACTTGATTATCCCTTACAAAAAATGTATCAACCCCTATAAAAATGTCAATTAATTATAATCCACATAATAATTCACATTTCATGTTGCTGCAGGATTATTTTCCTGCTGTAGCAAACTGGCTCAAATTAAAGGGAGACTTCGGGATTTTGGCAATGAGGCCCATCATCTACTTCCCCAGTCAGATTAATTTGCGGATGCCATTTTTATGTCTCTGTGTCCAGTATGAAGGAAGATAGAGGTAGTTTTGAGAACCAATGCTAACTAGCGTTAGTGCAAAGACTTCCAGTGTCTATGGGTATCTGCAGATACCCATAGACTTCCAGTCATTGCGCTAACGCTGGTTAGCAATTGTGCTAGTGCTAGTTAGCAACTGCACACGGAGACATAAAAATGTATCCCTTTAAGATCCTACACCTGTACTGTATGTCACTGTCATGTGAAGTATTATGGTGGTTACTTGTCTATGGATTTACAGTTGTGTCACATTGTCGGCACAAGCAGATAATTATCAGAAATGGAGAAGTATAGGAATAGTAATGAGTTTGAATTCTGCAGCTGAGTGCCCAAGTGAACAGCTTTTATTTTCTGGCATGATGTAGTGAAGTCAGTGACAGTAGATTGTTCCCTGGCATGTAGTGAATCTGTGACAGTGGATTTGTCCTTACCCAGGCTTTGTGCTGCTGAGGTACTCCCACACTGCTCTGCTTTCTAGCACAAAGAAAGAGCCTCCATTCCTTCTGAAGCCTCCCACAGTGTCCTCACTCCTCACAGGGTTTTAATATGCCGCATTATGCTCCCAGGCTGAAAACGTTAAAAAATGAACGCTGTTGCCTCTGAATTTTGTTGTGTAAACTGTATTTGCTGAATGGAATACTCAATTGTAGGAATGTGCACCTCCCACATAGATTTGCTCTTTGCATTTTATAATGCCTTCTGTTGAATGGACTGGAAGGCTGTAACTTTGTATCATTAAGCTCATGTACCTAGCCCACTCTCTCTGTCCACTAATATAGACCAGACTAGAATACAGCTCACCTGGCTGGCTCCTCACAAATCACAAAGGTGTCTGCCTGAGCAGGAAGTCCATCAGCAGACTAAATGTGGATGACATTTTTAGCTCCTAGATCCCCCCTGTCTCCATAACAACTAAGGAGCAGCCCAGACTTGGTAATGATTTGGAGAAGGGGAGGAGGCTCAAGTGTGTCTGTGCTCAGCTCATCCTAGATGGAATAATATAATTTATATCTCTGTATGGACGTGCTATTTTAATAGCTCTGTCCAGTCTTAATTAAAATGGCTGACACCCCAGTGTCCTGACACCCTAGATGTGGCTAATCCTCACCACAATATGGCTGCAGCTCTTCTTTTCAGACTATAATTGGATCTGTGCCATATTCAACATACTCTGTATTATTTCTGTGTAGCACTGTTAACAGAAAATTACAAAATTGAGATATAGGCCTAACAATGGTTGAAAAAGGTTCTCCCTTCTTTGTTTTATGAAGACATATCAACTGCAGCCGCATCATCTGCAACACTGGCGTACTGTCAGATCTGGGCAAAGAGAAGGGAAGGGCAGAAATTAATGAGGGCGAAAGCAGTGAGAGGGGTGACCAGGGGTTGTCTATCGCTCCTATTATGGTGTGGAGTGAATCGCACTGGAAGTGTGTAAGAGAGAAAGGGGGTGAGGTGAAAATAGGGGGCGGAGGCTCTGGTTCCCCCCCCCCCAAGTGTTCACAGCATAGTGCCACTATAACGTAGAGGAGGGAAGGAGCGATGAAGGAGGAGAGGGGACTGAGAATACACAGTCAAAAGTAAACACACCGGCCTCCCATATGTCTATTTTACCTGCTGCACTGCATCTCCAATGAGTTCCCTCCTATTAGGAGGCACATCAAAGAAAGGATAACATTTGCATTTTATAATGGCCTGCTTCACATGTGTTCCAGGTACTAGCTGATATTTACTTAGAGCCTGTGGACTGCACCATTCATCCAGGGGGTAGAGAAAAACACCTAATAGGCTATTTCTTTCTGGGCATGCGGGGCAGGGGGGTGGGGGGGGAATGCTTTCCCATGTGAGAATGCTTTCCCATGTGAGCGGGAAAGCATGCTCATGCAAGAGCGGGAACGCCCACTTACACAGACAGGAACCTTGTCTCTTTCTTTACCTCGTACTAGCCTGAAGTTAAATTGATGGAGCTGCAGTCTTCATTTCCTAAATAGAATTTGTCAGTGCCTTCCTCCTACGCAGTGCAGACAAAAATAAGACTTGTTTTCTCCTGCATTCACTGCCTGGTGTACCAGTAAAAACAGATTGCTTGAACCCTAGAACCCCCTTCCCTTCCCTGCTGCTCCTGAACCTTCTGAGTGGGTCACATCTGTAATGGCTGGTCTCATTTTACTCCAGTCTGATGGGAAAACATAACTAATGTGGTTAGCTGCACACATTTGACAGATGACTCAGATGATAAGACCCGGAGATGAAGTGCTAGGATAGCTGCCGAGTGTTAGCTTTAAACAGAGTAGGAGCAGTGGAACATTTCACTGCAATATTGATCTGCCAATCATGTTTCTTGAGTCTTGACCAATGCTATTTCATTGTTTTCAAGATTCAGGTATTACTCATGAGTAATACCCATGAATAGTCTTGACTGTAGACCAATTAAATGTTAAGATATAGAAGCTAATAGCCTTTATAGACTGTGTCGTGTTGTTTTGAGACAATTTTGTGCTAATAGCATCAAAGGGGACACAGTGTTCTAATTGCGTAGGTAAATAGTTTAATTAGAGACAATCAGACTGTGTAATGATGAAGTGTCATCTTTATCTGGGGAGCTGATGTGATGAATACAACAAGTACTTTATCTAGAGGCACCAGTGCCAATACATTAACCCCTCACTATGGGATAGGTTCAGTCATAACGCGTCCTGGATCTACACAAAGATTCAGATAATGTTTCACATATTACATTCTCTTTGAAATATTAATGGAATATTAACAGTGTATAACTGATTGAATAATAATCTCTGTCTTGTGTGTTGTGTGTGTATATGCAGGATTCTGGCCACAGCGGGAGCTCACATGAACATCCCAGTGGACCTGCGGACCCTGAGGGCCGTCCGTGTGCTCAGACCCCTCAAACTGGTCTCTGGAATCCCCAGTGAGTAGCCTACACCACCAGATCACATGTACTGGATGGATGTCCATGGATCTGCTCTGTCTATATATACAGTATATATGTGTACAGTATACATATAGGTATCTGTACTTGTTCTTCTGGCGTTTGCAATACCTCTGTCCAACCTCATTTTGGAGTCTGTATAGTTAATCCCTAATGAGTCAGACTGAAAACCACTCCCAAAATGAGGACGGGCAACAATGTCTTAGTGGAAGTGTTGTGTTAGCCAAAGTGAGAGTGCTGTCATAATGAGAGTGCTGACAGTATCTGCTCTAAGTGGTTCCCACACTTTCCATCCATAATTGTTTGGAGCTGTGACTCATTGTTGGCACTGATGACACATGACGGTTGTCTCTCTCTCTATCTCTCTGTGTGTGACCAGGCCTGCAGATAGTCCTGAAATCCATCATGAAAGCCATGGTGCCGCTGCTACAGATCGGCCTTCTACTCTTCTTCGCCATTCTCATGTTTGCCATCATCGGCCTGGAGTTCTATAGTGGGAAGCTTCACAACACCTGTCTGCCCATGCCCAATATCCTGGGTAAGACAGAATATGTGTCCCAAATGGCCACCCTATTCTCTTTGTAGTGCACTACATTATGACCAGGGAATATAAAGGGAATAGGGTACCATTTGGGACACACCCACACAGAGAGAGGGCCTTAGAGAGATCTCCTCAAGTCTACAGTAATCCAGGGCACTCAATGCTCTGCATATCAATTTGGGTTGCTTCTGTAGCAGTTGGTGTCGCTTTATATGAGGCTGAATCTGTTGTATTACGTGTTTTTATACCTTTACTTTGCTTATAGCCTATGCTTGCATAATTAAACACCTAGCTTCATAGAATCTTTTTAAACACCTACAGTGAGGGAAAAAAGTATTTGATCCCCTGCTGATTTTGTACGTTTGCCCACTGACAAAGAAATGATCAGTCTATAATTTTAATGGTAGGTTTATTTGAACAGTGAGAGACAGAATAACAACAAAAAAATCCAGAAAAACGCAGTCAAAAATGTTATAAATTGATTTGCATTTTAATGAGGGAAATAAGTGTTTGACCCCCTCTCAATCAGAAAGATTTCTGGCTCCCAGGTGTCTTTTATACAGGTAATGAGGTGAGATTAGGAGCACACTCTTAAAGGGAGTGCTCCTAATCTCAGTTTGTTACCTGTATAAAAGACACCTGTCCACAGAAGCAATCAAACAATCAGATTCCAAACTCTCCACCATGGCCAAGACCAAAGAGCTCTCCAAGGATGTCAGGGACAAGATTGTAGACCTACACAAGGCTGGAATGGGCTACAAGACCATCGCCAAGCAGCTTGGTGAGAAGGTGACAACAGTTGGTGAGATTATTCGCAAATGGAAGAAACACAAAAGAACTGTCAATCCCCCTCGGCCTGGGGCTCCATGCAAGATCTCACCTCGTGGAGTTGCAATGATCATGAGAACGGTGAGGAATCAGCCCAGAACTACACGGGAGGATCTTGTCAATGATCTCAAGGCAGCTGGGACCATAGTCACCAAGAAAACAATTGGTAACACACTACGCCGTGAAGGACTGAAATCCTGCAGCGCCCGCAAGGTCCCCCTGCTCAAGAAAGCACATATACAGGCCCGTCTGAAGTTTGCCAATGAACATCTGAATGATTCAGAGCAGAACTGGGTGAAAGTGTTGTGGTCAGATGAGACCAAAATCGATCTCTTTGGCATCAACTCAACTTGCAATGTTTGGAGGAGGAGGAATGCTGCCTATGACCCCAAGAACACCATCCCCACCGTCAAACATAGAGGTGGAAACATTATGCTTTGGGGGTGTTTTTCTGCTAAGGGGACAGGACAACTTCACTGCATCAAAGGGACGATGGACTGGGCAATGTATCGTCAAATCTTGGGTGAGAACCTCCTTCCCTCAGCCAGGGCATTGAAAATGGGTCATGGATGGGTATTCCAGCATGACAATGACCCAAAACACACGGTCAAGGCAACAAAGGAGTGGCTCAAGAAGAAGCACATTAAGATCCTGGAGTGGCCTAGCCAGTCTCCAGACCTTAATCCCATAGAAAATCTGTGGAGGGAGCTGAAGGTTGGAGTTGCCAAACGTCAGCCTCGAAACCTTAATGACTTGGAGAAGATCTGCAAAGAGGAGTGGAACAAAATCCCTCCTGAGATGTGTGCAAACCTGGTGGCGGAATATTTTTAAACACCTACATGAATATTGTGCTGAGGTGATCATTAGCTCTGTTATATATAAACATTTAGGGTACATCATCATAAACATTCTTCAAGGTGATCATTTATCAGCAGGCTTATACTGTGCCTATACAACAAGTGGATTATTATTTTCTGCGAGGCTTCCTCAGCTGTAATGATAGGCTATACAAACGTCCTGTGATGGTTCACTGTTGTTTCTTCCCACCTGCCCGCCCGCCCAGTGTAATGTATGCTCAGTGGTCCGGCTGATAATCGCTGTGTCGTTCCACCAAATCGGTGCCTTGTTTTGAGAAGTGTAACTTCTGTCATAAACATTCTGTCATAAAGAGCACATGTTCAACTTCATAGAAAACTGGTTTTCCCATCTCAAGAGGTTCAATAAAAAAATGACTTTAGTAAGTGCCAAATAAGTGCCAAATAAAGTAACAGGGTTGATGATTTCTTGTTAAATCAGCCAAAAATCCCCTTGTGACAGGGGGAATAGAAGCTTGTAGTACGCAACAGGGAGTGGCAATTTAATGCAAGCTTTACAACAAAATATGAAATTTTCTAGCCTGTCTATGGGTAACAGGGTTGACGTGTTATGCTCGACCCACTCAGTTTTCCACCACAAAACACCAGAAAATGGCCAGAAAGAGTAGAACCAGCTCATCTGCTTTTACTCTATGATTTGACTATTAGATGTTCAATGTTTCTTTAGAGAAAAATATTCACAATATCAAAAAGAGAGTTAAGTTCATGTAACAGGGTTGACCATGAAATAAATAATAATCTTCAGAAATGACTTTGTCAAAGCAACAAAATAACTAGGGCTTTACAATGATGGTGGGATTTAAGTGGGTTAAAATCTTCCTAGAAGTGACACAGGGTTGACAGAGGGACATGTCACAATGCTGAATTATTGCACTTTAGCAAGCCTTTATTCATATAAAAAATCAGATTTATCGAATTCTCCATGTGGTCTATATTAAAGGGCAGTTCATTTAATATAACAGGCTTTTAAAATTCCATATTGGTGCACAATTTCTACTTCAAATATGCAAAAGGCACTCTTTTCTTGGAACGACCCAGCTATGTTACGCAACAGACCTGAAACACACAATACCATGCTTGGCTGCACCTGTAAGTGTAATCACAGCCACAATGACTGCCTATGTAATTAAACCCCACAATATAGCAGCTCAATACCACAACTAATTATAAAGTCATAGATGTTATTGCCTCGCTGCACGGATCATGTTATAGTTAAGTGGGTTACACAGTTCTATTTACAAAGATCTACATAAAGGGTTATCGCCTCAACATAATTTCTTATTCAGGTAATGTGGTCTTATAACAAGCTTACTGTGGGATTTATTCCTTCAGTTTTTCATGATAGGGATTGAGTTGTCACAGATAGAGAAGATTATGAAATTGGCATTTTCAAACAGATTGTCCTCACCTGATGAATACATAAACTTCAGCTCATCTTTTGTTGAGGGTTCAATATCACTCATGGCTTGACTTGTCACAAAATGTCCTCTGATGTTGACAGACTGTTTCAGTGGATTGCTACAGTAAATAGTTATATCATGCATTCTAGTATTCCTTTACTGCATTTCAAAGATATTAGATTTAATACAGTATCTAATTGTATCTAGTGCCACCAACTAGTGATGGACTCCGCTAGAGGTGCCAGTTTAGATATAGGTACAATCGGCCTGGGCCCTTGGGTTAGAAGGGTGAATGACCAGTAGGAGACAGATGTACAGAATACGAGTTTATTACCACACGACAGACAGGCACACACGCACGCACACACACACACACAGCAAATGAAGTGGACTGATGGAATAGGTGAAAGTGGTTGTGTTGTCATCCACGCACTAACACACGGTTAGGAAGTCCAGGGTGGAGGATTGGTCAGGAAATGTCCAGTGTGAGTAGAGTTAAGGTGGTGAGTTCTTCTGATCTGTGATCTGTCTCTCTGCACCTCTGTGTCCAACTAAAGCACAGACTATGTTGGGGGTTTGAGATCCCCACCATGTACAGCCTGTGATTGGCTGACCAGGTCACATGACTCTAGCCAGGGGAGATTGTTCTGGAATCAAATCAAAATCAAATCAAAGTTTATTGGTTGCGTACACAGATTTGCAGATGTTATCGCTGGTGCAGCGAAATGCTTGTGTTTCTAGCTCCAACATTGCAGCTGTAGTGTAATGTTTCAGATGATGTCATCATAAAGGTTATGTGGGGACCTCACTGTATGAGGGGGCTTTAGTTACCCGACTATTAGCTTTAGAGAGACGATTTATTATAATCACACATTACACAAGTCAAATAGCATATTAATAATGTAATCTTTCAGGAAAGGACTTTCACACAGAGAGTTGCTATTGCTGCTCACTTCATTGAGTCATGCATTACACTATAATCATCATATTGTGGCACTTATTCATGCATCTCCAGTAGATGCGAGTCATTTCTCACAAGTGAGACATTTCTATAAAGTAATCCCATCTCTCATGGGAAAAACACGATTAGTTCGATTGATTTCTGGTTTGCATCCTTTTGTTAAATCTCCAGCCTAGCCTGCGGAGCCTTTAATGGACTCTGGTCAATATGAACCAGTTGAGGAAGTTAATTATCTCTTGTCCCCCTGTCAGAGAATGAGACGGTGGACAAGTCTGAGTCAGAGTTCCCGTGTGGGGTGAGGAAGTGCCCTGACAAGTACACCTGCCGTGACACCTGGATCGGCCCCAACGACGGCATCACCCAGTTTGACAACATCCTGTTTGCTGTGCTCACTGTCTTCCAGTGCATCACCATGGAGGGCTGGACCACTGTGCTCTACAACGTGAGTCACATCTGTTTCTCTCTAACCATGTCCTGTCCTCTGACTGGGGAAAATAGGCCTATTATTTGACCTAGTTATGTCATCCTTTGATACATTAGTTTGCCTTTTGCCTTTGCTTGGTTGAATCAAATAGACCCTCTGCGTCATTGGGGACACAGACATTGTTGTAGCTCTCCTTACCCTAGACACCTAGTTTTACCGGTCATTACTCAAACTGTCTGATATTTGTTGTGGGACGCACTCAAACATCCTTTTACAGCTGCTTCCCTGTTCTGTGTTTATGAACCCAATTGATTGCACACTGTACTTGAGGAATCAAATGAATTAAGCATGACACAACGATACAAACACACACAGTATATAGAGTAGGAGTGTATCTGTGCCAAGAGAGTAGGGTAAATAAGTGCAATGAATGGGCTGGAAAGTGAGAGCAGGTCAATTATACTCTTAATCTCCCAGCCACATGCCTCCATTGCCTCACTACTACCGTCTGCCCACTGACCCTCCTTATCTGATCACACTCAATTACATCCTAAACACATGGGCATGATTTGGCTGAGCTGGGATGTTACTGGCAGACATTTTAAGCTGACACTTGTCACTGGTGTAGAGAGGAGTAGGCAAGAGGCAGTCGTAGGTTTAGAACTACTGAATGTATTTAAGCACCATTGATCAAAGCGGGACGAAACCCAAACGCTGTTGTGCTCAAAATATATCTTCATAAACAAAAGGCACAGGGCGAACCCATGTGCGTCGTGGGGTCCAGCACTATCCAAAGTACCAGCTGCCACCGGCCTGAGGAGAGATACATGAAATGAGGGTAAGATACGGTAGTTGACGGGGAGCTGTAATCTGTACGTCACCTCATTGACTCTCCTCAGGACTTTGAACAGCCCCACAAATCGCGGGCTCAGCTTCCGGCAGGGCAGGTGGAGGGGCAGGTCCTTCGTAGAAAGCCAGACCCTGTCACCGGGGTGAAAGACCGGGGCCACACTGCAGTGACGATCGGCCTGCGCCTTCTGCCAGAGGACAACGCGCTGGAGACGGGTGTGCGCTGTGTTCCATACCTCCTCGGTGTGCCGGAACCAATTGTCCACTGCAGGAGCCTCGATCTGACTCCGGTGCCAGGGTGCCAGGGCCGGCTGATAGCCTAGAACACACTGAAAGGGTATGAGGTTAGTGGAGGAGTGACGAAGGGAGTTTTGTGCATATTCTGCCCAAGGCAGAAACGCAGCGCACTCCCCCGGCCGGTCCTGACAGTAACTACGAAGGTACCTACCTAGTTCCTGATTTACCCTTTCCACCTGCCCATAAGATTGGGGACGGTACCCGGAGGTGAGGCTGACCATGACCCCCAGTCGTTCCATGAAGGCCTTCCAGACACGGGAGGTGAACTGAGGACCATGGTCAGACACGATATTCTCCGGGATCCCGTAGTGCCAGAAGACGTCAGAGAAGAGAGCCTCTGCAGGGCCGTTGGGAGACCAGGCCGAGGAATCAAACGACCGGCTTATGAAAACCGGTCCACAACGACCAGGATGGTGGTGTGCCCCTCCGAGGGGGGAAGGTCTGTGACAAAGTCCACGGAGAGATGGGACCAGGGTCGTTCTGGAACCGGCAGCAGGTGGAGTTTGCCATAGGGGAGGTGTCTAAGTGTCTTGCTCTGTGCGCAGGTGGAGCAGGAAGAGACGTAAACCCGGTGGGCCACCAGTTCTTGGCGGAGAGACGGTAGATAGTATGGGCTATACCCGGGTGCCCCGACACAGGTTCTGTGTGTGCTCAGGCGAGGAGACGGTCCCGCACATCAGAGGGCACGTAGATACATCCCTAGGGACAGTGGGCAGGTGAGGGCTCCTGTCGCAGGGCTCGACGGATGTCCGCGTCCACATTCCACACGACAGGAGCCACAATGCGGGACAGGGGAACAATGGGTTGTCACTTTCTCCCTCCGATCCTCTGTGTCATGCACCCGGGACAATGCATCGGCCTTAACGTTCTTTGATCCCGGCCGGTAGGAGATGGTAAAGTTAAGAATTCGCTGCTCGAATGTACTCCAAGTTCCGGTGGTCCGTCAAGACAAGGAATGGGTGTTTAGCACCCTCCAGCCAGTGCCGCCATGCTTTCAGCGCCTTTTTGATGGTCAACAACTCACGATCCACCACGTTGTAATTCCGCTCTGCTGGAGATAGCTTCCGTGAGTAGAAGGCGCATGGATTGAGTTTAGACGGCGATCCAGTGCATTGGGAGAGAAAAGCGCCTACTCCAACCTCGGAGGCGTCCACCTCCACGATGAAGGGCAGAGACGGGTCAGGGTGAGCCACAACAGGTGCGTTAGTAAAATGTTCCTTGAGTGCACCGAAGGCTTCATTGGCCTCCCCAGTCCAGCGCAGCTGTCGAGGACCTCCCTTCAGGAGGGAGGTGAGAGGGGCCACCATTGTGCTGAAACCCCTAATGAAGCACCTGAAATAGTAGGCAAAACCAAGGAAGTGCTGCACCGCCTTCATGTTGGATGGAACAGGCCACGACCATACTGCATGAACCCTCTGCTCTTCCATCTCCACTCCCACGGTGGATATCCGATAGCCCAGGAAGGAGACTGCATGCTGAAAGAAAAGGCACTTCTCCTGCCTTGGCGTATAGGTGATGCCCTATCAGCCTCTCCAAAACGGACCTGACATGAGAGACATGTTGCTCGCCTGTAGTGGAGTACACCAAGAAGCCGTCTATGTACACCACTACACAGCGACCCAACATGTCTCTAAACACCTCGTTAATGAACGATTGAAACACAGAGGGTGCATTTGTCAGGCCGTAGGGCATTACCCTGTATTCGTAGTGCCCGGTGCTGGTGCTGAAGGCGGTCTTCCATTCATCCCCCTCACTGATGCGCACCAGGTTGTAGGCACTGCGTAAATCCAATTTAGTAAAGTACTTAGCACCGTGCATCTGTGCGATCACAGTGGGTAACTGAATTTAACAGTAGCCTTATTCAGTGTCCAGTAATCGATACAAGGGCGGAGACCTCCGTCATTCTTTTTTACGTAAAAGAAACTGAAGGAGGCCGGAGAGGTGGACGGACGGATTAATCCTTGGGCCAGCGCCTCCTGGAATTAGGCCTCCATGGCTTCGGTCTCTGCATGCGAGAGAGGATAGATGTGCCCCCACGGGAGGGTAGAACCAGGCAGTAGGTTGATAGTGCAGTCCCATGTGCGATGAGGGGGCAGGCACGTGGCATGAGTCTTCGAAAAGGCCACCTGTAGGTCCCGGTATTCCTCCGGGATAGGGACGTGGGTGGCCTGGTCCGGACTTTCCACGGAGGTGGCCAGATTGACACAGAGAGACAGCTCCCCTGACACTCCTGCAACCAACCCAACAACCTCCTCTCTGTCCACGATATACTGGGGTTATGCAACTGTAGCCAGGGGAAACCTAAAACTACGGGGTGTGCAGGAGAGTCTAAGATGAGGAAAGTAATGCGTTCATGGTGGTTGTGATTAACTGTGAGGGAAATGGGAATCGTGGTCTAGCCCACCAGTCCTGTTCCTAGGGGACGGTTGTCTAGGGCATGGATTGGGATAGGGGGTTGTAAAGGGACTAGAGGAATGCGTAATGATAAGGCCACTGACCGGTCTAGGAAATTGCCTGCAGCACCTGAGTCCACTAGGGCAGGACTCAGTGAGGGACCAGGATAGTAAGGGAAGGTGACAGGGAGGAGGACGGGCTGGGTGGACAGAGAGGGGCAAGGCACGTCCACGCTTACCTGGGAAGGTGTAGGAGCGCTCCTCGGCCTGTTGCTTTCTCGCCTGGTTCTCCTTCTGGGACAGGTGTTCCAGGGGTGGTCCGACTCCCCGCAGTAGGAGCAGAGACCCTGTTGACGGTGGCATTGACGTTCCGCAGGGGGAAGGTGCGTTGTGCCCACCTCCATGGGCTCAGTCTTGCTGGAGATTCCTGGGAGAGACCTGAACCCCCAGGATGGGCGACGACGGGCACGCAGGAGACTTATCCAGGCGGATGGCTCATCACAACAGGCCAGCTCAGTCTGGATGGCCGTCTGTAGCCCACTGCGGAAAACCGTCAACAGGGCCTGTTCGCTCCAGCCAGTGGACGCAGCCACCGTCCGGAACTCCAGAGTGTATTCCGATGCTGTCCTGGACCCCTGGCGTAGACGGAGGAGACGCTCACCTCCCTCTCTGCCCTCTGTTGGGTTGTCGAAGACGGCACAGAAGAGTTGGGTGAAGCGCTCATAGGACTGCACTTCACCGTCCCTCTCCCAGACGGCGTGCGCCCACTCCAGAGCCCGGCCTGTCAGCACGGAGATCACCAAGGCCACCTTGTCCCTCTCGGAGGCCTTCCCAGCATGACGGGCAAGGTGGAGGTCACACTACAGGAGAAACCCCCTACAGTGAGCTGGGGTGTCATCAAACCGCTCCGGGAGGGGCAGGTGGACGTTGCTGATCGGACCGGGTGATGTAGATGGTGGTGGGGTAGCTGGAGCAACCGCAGGGAGATGGGAAGGTGGTGGTGTAGCCTGCAGTTGGCGTATGGCCCGGAGCACCTCGTCCATGGCAGTCCTGAGGCGCTCCAGACACGAGTTGTGGTGGTGGAACTTCGCTCCTACAGCAGAGAGGTTGGGATGTCCTGCTGCTTCCTGTTTTCTTGGGTCGGTCATTCTGTCACTGGTGTAGAGAGGAGTAGGCAGGAGGCAGTCACAGGTTTAGAACTACTGAATTTATTTAAGCACCATAGATCAAAGTGGGACTAAACCCAAACGCTGTTGTGCTCAAAATATATCTTAATAAACAAAAGACACAGGGCGAACCCAAAGTGCAAAATATAAAGTACTCAGGAAATAGTAGGAGAGATTCCTCTCAGGTAAACAAGTAACATTTACAATGACCGACAAAGACAAATGGCAGAGGGAGTATATACAGTGGGGGGGAAAAAGTATTTAGTCAGCCACCAATTGTGCAAGTTCTCCCACTTAAAAAGATGAGAGAGGCCTTTAATTTTCATCATAGGTACACGTCAACTATGACAGACAAAATGAGAGAAAAAAATTCCAGAAAATC